TCCTCTCCTCCCCCCCCCCCCCTGTCTTGCTCCTAATCATTGACCTCCATTCTCCTCCCTCCTGCGTTCGCTCCTGAGCTGCTCCCACACCTCACGTAGCGCTCTCATCCAGCCGACCTTCTCTGGCAGTGGAACCTTCACACACTTAATCGAGATGGCTGCAACTTTTCTCACAAGCAGCAAGTCACCTGCAAGCACATTGAGCAAGATGCCTGTCGATCTTTCCATCTTGTTCATCAAGGGAGTCTTCAAGACTTGGGACCTCATCCTACGAGCATTTCACCCGCTTCACCTCTTCTCTAAGTTTGTCCTCCACCTTCCCACGAGTTTGTTCGCAAGGGAGGACAAGACCCGGATAGTCATCGTTGGCGCTTCCTTCGCAGGACTGGAGGTACCGAGGGGCAGGGGAGTACCTTGACTGGGTTGACCTGAAGCTGCTGCAGGCGGCTCAGCACCTGGCAGCTCACGGCGAGCACATAGAAGTGACGCTGATCGACGAGAAAGAATACTTCGAGTTCACCCCGGGGATCTTCCGATGCTTCATCAACCCTCATCACATCTCAGACCTGACGTGCGCAGTCGACGCCTCCCTGGGCCGCATGGTGAGAGGGCGTGTCAAGGACGTGGAGGACGGGCAGGCAAGGACAGCCCAGGGTCCTCGTGGTCGCTGACGCGGCGAGCATGTTCAGGTGGTGGTGGTCGGCGAGACCGGAGGAGAGGAGTGGAAGAGGATCGTCCCCTTCGATTACTGCCTCCTTGCCACGGGCTCGTCCTACCCGGGGGTCGTGCGAGCGGGGCGAGGGGAGGCGACAATAGCGGAGAGGAGGAAAACCTGGCAGGCAAGAGAAACTCCATGACTTGACGACTAGGCCCCAGCTCACTGCCTGCTCAGGATCAACACGCGAGACTCGTCTCTTCCTCCTCCGTCATCATCGTCGGGGGTGGGATGGCGGGAGCTGAGCTAGCAGCTGAGATCATATCTGCCTTCCCCAGCAAGTCCGTGACTGTAATTCATGCACATGAGGTGAGTTGCTGAGCTTCGAGCGCTTCCCGTGACTTGTAGGGCCCTGACCTCACCGATGCAGAGCATGTGCAAGGAACTTCCTGCTGCAGCCAAGGCCTACGTGGAGCAGTGGCTGAGAAAGAGAGGTAGGAGAAGAGGAGAGGTAGGAGAAGAGGAGAGGGAGGAGAAGAGGAGAGGGAGGGGTAGAGGTAACAGGCTCAACAGCATTGCGATAAAACTTGTTTGCAGGAGTGAAGTTGATGCTTCATCGCCGCGTGATGGAGTTTGATGAGCATGTAATTCAAAAATGTCCTCCTCCTCCTCCTCAGCCTCACCTCCTCCTCCCCCACCCCCTTCCCTCCCCTCCTTCCCCTCTCTCCTTCTCGAAATGTTCGTCTCTCTCACCTCTCCTGACAGCGTTGCGTGCTGGAGGGCGGGGAAGTCCTGGAGGCCGACAGCGTCTACTTGTTGTGACCATCAGAAGCGCTCTCGTGACAGCTGATGCCGACATGGCAGGTGCAGCGGCATGTCTCCTCGTTCCGATGCTGTAGCAAGGAACGCGCAGCCGGGTGAGTGGAGCAGAGGAGAGAAGGAGAGGAGGGACGAAAGGGGAGGAGGAGAGAAGGAGAGAAAACGAAGGAGAGGAAACTAAGGAGAGCAGAGCAGAGCAGAGCAGAGCAGGGCAGAGCAGAGCAGAGCAGGGCAGGGCAGAGCAGAGCAGCGCAGCGCAGCGCAGAGTGGGTGATGGAGCACCTTCCCTGCAGGAACTCTCGACAAGAAAGGCTTCGTGCGGGTGAACCGCAAACTTCAGGTCTCCCATTCCTTGTCGAGCTGATCGGGAGCTAAGGGCAAGTTAAGGTGCAAGGAAGGATCAACGTGTTTGCCGCCGGAGACGTGATGATGCAGGATGACTGCGATGAAGTCAGTTCACCTCGTTCTCAGCTCCTGCTGGCAACTTGACAGGTCGCAGGTGAAGTCCGGATATCTCGCCGAGAGAAACGCCAAGATCGCAGCATGCAACATCCTTCATCACGTTAGCTAAGGGGATGGCGGGAGAGGGAGGGAGGGAGGGAGCAGAGGGAGAGGCGGGCGAGCGGGGAGGGCAGGGAGAGGGAGGGGGAGAGAGGAAGGGAAGGAGGGAGGGAGCAAGGGGAGACGGAAGGAGGGAGTCGACGGTCACCCTCTTGCTCAGATGCACGGAGAGCAGCTGCTGTCATACCCTGAAGATGTGTTCGGGGATGTGAGCATGATCCCGGAGGTTTACTGCCTCTCGCTCTCCAAGTACGATGGGGTTAGTCAGTCAGCAGCCCCGTCGCTTCCCCTCCCTGACTGCCGCCAGGTCCTCGCCTTCAACAACCTCGTCGTCACAGGAAGAATTCCTGCTGTCTTCAAGTGGCTGATCGAGGCAAATTCTGCTGCTGCTGCTGCTCCTCCTCCTCCTCCTCCTCCTGAGCTGACACTCTTTCATGTCTTCAACTGGTTTCTCAGTGTCCATGAAAGTTCTTTCACATTCATCCCTTTTAGTCGCTTTGACAATCTTGTTTTGAGCTTTGATACACAACAATATCCACTCCCCCCACACTCCCCATCTCCCCTCCCGCCTCTCGCTCCTCTCTCTCGCTCTCTCTCCTCCCTCCTTCTCCTCCCTCCCTCCCTCCCTCCCCCTCCTCTCTACATCTGAACTTCCTTATTGTCAGTGGACAACTGTACAAGCAGTGAGGGGGATGCTTGCCTGCAAGGCCTACTGTCACATCAACGGCATCATGTCAGTCTTCGCTTCCAACCATCTCATCAAACCCAATGAGGCTCTCAAGATCCACAGCAAGTGATCATCCTGCTGCTCTTGTCCTCTCCTCCTGTAAATATCTGTCGCCTGTCTGATGGTGGCGTGTCGTTGGTGGACAGCTCAAGCTTGTCTGATTGCAAAACATCCCCTTTGAGAATAAATTTCATCTCTTCTCAAAACGCTGCAGCAACAGGTATTGCAGAAACAGGTATTGTGATGAGTAGCCAGAGAAAGAGAAAAGAAAAAGAGAAAGAGGGAAAATTCATTCATCCATCCATCAATCCATTTATCCAGGAGAAGCTACCGTTTGCTTGTTGTGTCCAAGAGCCAACAAGAGCAGCAGGGGGCGAGAGGTGTTGAGATAATAGGAAGAGAGCAAGGCTGAGCGGCATCATCACGACGGCAAGAAGCGATGAGGCAGACGAGAATGATGGAGCGCTAACAGTCTTCTCCTCCACTTCCTCGTCAGCGAGCCCCCGGCCTCCTCGGCCTCCTTGAGGGCCCAAGGGTCCTTTGGTCGCAGGCGCAGCGCGAGGGAGGAGAGGAGAAGAGCCTCGCGGTACAGCTGCGAAAAGACCTTCGGGCTCTCCTGCAGGGATCGACATCAGCTGACATCCAGCTGGGGCATGTCAGTCCTACCTCCACGTCAGCCTTCTCCCTCAGCTCCCGTGCGAGGAGGGTCAAGTGAAGGACAGAGGAGGAGAGATTCTTGTCTCCTGCCCTCGCGCTCCTTCGAACAGACTCGATGAGGTGCATCCTCCGGGGGACGAGGTCTGGTCGATCCCAGAGCTCGCTCCCTTCCACCTGTGGACCAGCTTGTAACTCAAGCGGGGAGCCTCCAACGTCACCTGCTGTCGGCGGTCGCTGGCCCTTTGAGACGTGAGCTGATAAGAGAGAGGGCAAGTGACTTGAGTGATCTGCGGGGCCGTCAGCTGACGCCGTCCCGTGCTCGACTACCTTCGCCAACATCGAGTTGGTTGACAAGTCAAGGTTGAGGGAGCCTCGTTTGGTATCCCACATATGCATGCCGATCGAAGACTGAATGATCTCCTTGATCTTGATGACGATTTGAAAAATACAAAGTTATCTCAGTCCTCCTCTTCTTCCTCCTTTTCCTCCTCCTCCTCATCATCTCCATCTCCATTTCCATCTCCATTTCCATCTCCATCTCCATCTCCATCTCCATCTCCATCTCCATCATCATCATCATCATCATCATCATCATCATCCTCATCTCCATCATCATCATCATCATCATCATCATCATCATCATCCTCATCTCCATCATCATCATCATCATCATCATCATCATACTTGCGTGCATCTTTCAGTCCAAGGGAACGACAAAACGACGCTGTTGTCTTGCAAGTCATTGCCCTGCCCCTCATCATTCCTCCTCAACCTATTGAACATGTTGACGGGATGGAAAGCCTTGGGCTCCAAGATCGTCATCGAGTTGCAGTAGGATGGTCGAGTCTGCAAAGAAGCAGGAGGAGACCAGCAAGGATGTCAAGGGAGAGGAGGAGGAGGAGGAAAAGACGAAAAGAAACGAACAGAAAACAATCAGGTGTCGGTCCTCGTTGCGATTCTCCTGCAACGGCTTGTTTGTTCCACTCACCTCATTCTCCCTCAGGCACTTGTCTTGGTAAACTGCGCTGAACAAGGATGGACCCAGGAGCGCGTATCCAGACGGAGAGAAATGGGAAGGCAAACTCTGGGGACCAAGTTACTCCCCAACTCCTCCTGACTTCCTCCACCTCCTTCTCCTCTCCCTCCTTCTCCTCTCCCTCCTTCTCCTCTCCCGTCTACCTGCCCCCCGCGCACACGCTGGTCCGGCCGTCTATACCTTCATCAGATCATTCACGAACTGGTGGCGGGGAGGGAACTGGAAGAAATCGGTCCCAAGGTAGAAATGCGCTCCCCAGGGCGTCTGGTTTCATCCCCTTACGAGCTCGCACCCTCCTCTTCCCTCACCTCCCACGTTGACCTCTGGCCTTCGTCCATCGCAACCAGCACTGACCCTGCTCGCCATTGCGAGGAGTGAGAATGAAGCAGAGTCGGTAGCGGCGATCACCATTGTGGTCGATCCTGTTGAGAGAGACCATATCCAGGTCGACGTAGCAGCCTGGCACAGAGTTCAGCACACGGTCACTCCCTCTCCCTCACTGCGACCTCCGTACTTGTAGATGATCGCAAGCCGAAGACCATCGCACAAGTCTAAAGCCTTGTGAAGGGCGGTCTGCACAACAGAAACAGCCCGATCAGAGTTGAGCGTCGCAAGACAGGAGAGATAAAGCCTCGACGTACCTGCCATACACCTGATTGGAACCATTCCTGCCATGTGAATGAGAAGCAGGTGAATGATTTGATCTCAGCACAACCTCCATGGGCGTCGCATGAAAGTCTTCAGTCAGGTTGATGACCCGAAGCTGAACCCTCTCTGACTTGACTGGAGCCAAGGTCATCGCAAAGTTCCAGCGAGACGTCAAATCACCAGGGAAAGATCTTGAGAGAGTCTCTGAGTTCTTGACATGAACAAGTGCTGTGTGCCCTTGTATAGCCGGACGACGTCAGAGTCACCGGAGACAGGAGATAACAAGGAAGGGCACCTGGATTCTTGTTGAGAAAGGCTTCAATCTTGCAGGCATGCAGAGGTCTGATAGAAGAGTCGTAGTAGTGAATGAAATGAGCAACTTGAGACACGCGCTGCTCGTTGTCGCTTGCTGTCCACGGCCCTTCAACAAATCTCACAGCCTCCAGATCAAGCGCAAGAGCTCTCCACCCAGATGCTTCAGCCTTGACATGACGCTTGTTGAGCTCCCTGCATCAACCGCTCAGACTGCAGCCCTCTGGAGGAGCAAACATGTTTCTTTGCGCCTTACCATGACGCGCTAACGTGATATTGTGACAATCATCATGGAATAGCGAGGGAGGAAGTCTGGAAGGAATGCTCCCAGAGACAAGTGAGCTGACGGTGAAGTTGATGAGTGATGGAAGAGGAAGAGTGATCTACCTCATCAGGGCTGGATGCGTCTGCTTGCGAATACTTGTGTCTTCAACCAGCAGCAATTTTTCCTCAACGCTTTGACTGCCTGAAATCAAGTTGTTCGATCCAAGTACATGATTCATCGAAAGATGAATCACATGAAAATATGACGACCATGTCCAGAACGTGCAACTATGATCCAACCTGGGATAGCCATCACTTCATGTGCCTCTCCCTCACAAACAACCGGCAGGCTCGGCAGCATCGCTGCCAGCTTGAGACGTTTCTCATCATGACAAAGTTGGTTCCAACATGAACCTCCTCCCTCACCGTCAGGCAGAAGAAATGCTCACGGTCATCGTCTCATTCCAGGCTCTGCTGTCTCGCAGGAGTCCGTCTCCTCGTTGTCCTGGAGGCCCTCGAATGCAGCATGGATCTTCTGGAACAACCGAACATGGTCGGGGGCGGAAGTCTTGGCGGTGTGATTGCTTGGGAGCAGAAGCTTCACAGTCGCTGAGCTCCCGTTGCGCTCCTTGTGCCTCGCCAACGTTTTGTTGGAAGCATGGACCCTTCTGGAGACCTGTAACTCCTCAAGAGCAAGCTAGCAGCATAAAATCAGAGGCAGCGTTTTAACCATTACCAAACGAAGCCGCAAGTTTGAAATTTGTACGAACACTGAGAGGTGTGAGCAGAGTCAACGTGTGTTGGCTCAACGTGGAGTGACATTGGTTGCTGTTGGTTTTAACCTTCACTCATTGTCATCATGTATGAGACATCAATATGCTCAGAGTCATCTGATTCCTTCAATCACCGGCCTCATCAGCTACAAGGGTCTGTCCTTCCCTCAACTGCTGTGCCACGGTGAGGAGGTCGAGGAAACTTGCGATCGAGGTTCAAGTCGTCGCAGAACGTACACCTAAACCCTAAACCAGGTGACAGACCAAGCAATGCGTCAAGAACAATAGTTTTTGCCTTGTACTGAATTGACATGGGAACCATTGGTAAAGACTTGATTCAACGAGGTTCAACAGTTATACGGCATTGTTGAAGGGCCCGTAGCCGCCTGCAGATGGAGGTATATCAGGATCGCTCAGACTTGGGCAAAAGAGGACACTTGTCTTTGAAATGACCAAACTCATACTTCGTAGGACTGACCACGGAATCCTGCTTCTTTATTTGCACATGCAAGCTGGGGGTTGAGAGTATTCTCGTGAAGTTTCCGGTTGACTTGCTGCTACGAGAAGGTTGACATCAAACTCGTAGGTCGAGAGACGTTTTTGCGGTCGGAGATGATGAGCACAGCACTTCAAGCAGACGGGCCATGCACAAACATCCTTCTGCTTGCCCCTTCTGCTTTGAGAACGATCAACGACAGGGAAGCTCAGAAAGAAAGAAGATATAGGAAGGACGTCAACTTTGAACAGATCATGTGTTGATCGAAGGTAGAAAGGATATGATACGAGGTTGGGACGTGCCTCCCTGCGAGCAATAGTAACGACTTGAGATTCATCAAAGGTTAGCATCATTCTGGAAGCTCTCTTCAAAATGGACCCTCTGATGAATACTCATTCGAATGTAATGATGTATCATGAATGTAACCTTCATTGAAAGTATGCTCATGCGCCACAAATTCGGATGAGAACCACAGGGGGTTTAATTGAAATCTATTGATCAGAGCAACAGCTTGTATCACACTCTAGATTCACAATAGCTATTTGATATCGATGCCTACTACTGGAATTTTGTTCCATTCCGTACCAATTTCCCAACCATAGTCTGTCAATGCGTTAGGATTAGAAAAATTTGATACCTTAAAGCGCTCAAGTGCTTTAGGCACAACGAAGTAGAATTCCACATTTCTGACGCAGAAGCCAATATTTGTCAGTTTTTCCAAGAACTTTGCACATGGAGCAAGGTTCAACGAGTGCTCTTTGGCGATTGTTACTTGCACGAAGCGCACTGATCCATCTGTCTTGTTCAGAAAAACACCATCATAGGCTGGATGATTGAAGTTGAATGGCTTTGCCCACAAACCATTTTCATTCCCATCGAAAAAAGTCTGATCGAGATCGTTTGACACTATCTTGACCACACCTTTAGGCCAGATTTCTGTGCCATTTCCTCCAACTCTCCAGAAAATCTGAAGGTCTTGTGCAGCAATCGTGGCAAAAAACAATATTTCGAAAAATTTCCCTTGCATTATCGGATCGTTTGGTTCGAACAATGCTGCGCACTTTCTTAATCGGTCTGGGCCCATGCGAATGGCAAATTCGAATGCCACATATTCACTGACAAATGTCAGGCAATCACTTTGGCTGACGGCATCTCTTCTTACTGAGAACAAGCCGTCGATCAAATTTGGAGACTGCGTTCCCGAACTCATATGTGATTCAAAGTTTTGGACAGCAGTCAAGACTCGTCTAAGCCGTTTTATCACCTCTGACGTATTCCATGCAAACATGCACCTCGATGACTTTCCAGCATAAAAATACTTCGATTGAATTCTGATCCTACGATCACTCTGATTGCCATGAGATTCCAGGACCATCTCCGAATCAAGGTTTTCCTTCACCAATTCGTAGAACTCGTTGCACTTTACGGCAGAAAGATATTCCTGCTCTGTCCATGGATTGACAAAGAAAAACTCCATTTCAAGTCTAGTATCTTCTCCTCCTTGAATTTTAATGTTCCCTGACATAGAAGTCACAACAAGTAAACGACGCATACTCTTGTCTTGATTTCGCCAATCGCTCAATAATTCAACCAGCGATTCACATCGCTCCGACTTCCGGTATCCATCTAGAATGATCAACGCCGGACGATTGGACTCAGTCAGTCCCAGGCAACTCAGCATGTCTTGATCAGAGTAACTTAAGAGCTTTACTGCGCGAACACCTTGCTCGTTCCTGAGAAGCCCTTCCGGTGAATTGAACCTTGACAAATGAAGCCAGCAAACATTCCATGCGCTACTGTTAAGTCCGAGACAAAAGGCAAGCGCCGTCAATGACTTTCCGGTCCCTGGCGATCCATTCACCCATCCAAAGCAACCTCTCTTTATCACTGCTTCTTGCATGAATTTCATTTGCTCTTGGACTGCCTGTCGACAGTATACCATAGCATCCATGCTATCATTTTCCTTCTCCGCCAAATGTTCCCCAACACCTGCAAATTTTAGATACTGGGCTGGAAACCTGATAAACTCGGAATTGTTACGGTATTCTGGTATCTTCCTGATTGCTAAGAACGATGATAGTTGTATTGGTGTTCGATAAATTTGTCTCTCAAATTGCTTCCATCTGCATTTCAGCTCCTCCATCCTTTCCGGGTTGTGGCACGTGTCCACCATCACCCCCTCAAGCCTCAGACGCTCTTCCCTCAACGTCAGCTTGTCTAGTGCCGCCTTTAGCACCTCCTTCCTTTCCGGGTTTTGGCACGTGTCCATCACCCCCTCAAGCCTCAGACGCTCTTCCCTCAATGCCAGCTTGTCTAGTGCTGCCTTTAGCTCCTCCTTCCTTTCCGGGTTTTGGCACGTGTCCATCTTCCCCTCAAGCCTCAGACGCTCTTTTTTCATTCTCTGTTCAGCCCTCATCCGCTCTGCTCGGATATTCTCCTCATGCCTTATCAACTCTTCCCTCAACGCCAGCTTGTCTAGTGCCGCCTTTAGCACCTCCTTCCTTTCCGGGTTTTGGCACGTGTCCATCACCCCCTCAAGCCTCAGACGCTCTTCCCTCAACGCCAGCTTGTCTAGTGCTGCCTTTAGCTCCTCCTTCCTTTCCGGGTTTTGGCACGTGTCCATCTTCCTCTCAAGCCTCAGACGCTCTTTTTTCATTCTCTGTTCAGCCCTCATCCGCTCTTCTCGGATATTCTCCTCATGCCTTATCAACTCTTCCTTCAACGCCAGCTTGTCTAGTGCCGCCTTTAGCTCCTCCTTCCTTTCCGGGTTTTGGCACGTGTCCATCACCCCCTCAAGCCTCAGACGCTCTTCCCTCAATGCCAGCTTGTCTAGTGCCGTCTTTAGCTCCAGATTGAGTTTCGCGATTTTGCGCTCGTCATTGCATTTTCCAAGCTCTTCCATCAGGTATTTGATATAAGGATCCTGCATGGCAGAATAGACCAAAACTCTATCTGCACTCCTCCGCGGTCGCTTGGGGAAATGATTGTGAGACGCACTTGATGATCCTGAGCTCTCACTAGTTGAAATTGGACGAGTAGCAGTGCTACTTGCGACGATCATCCCTAGCAAATAGGCTGTTGCAAAGCAAATATGTAGTCGGGAAACGAGCTTTACTCGCATACGATCAATTCCCCTATTCCTTGTTTGCCCTCCCAGCTCCCTGCCACAGCTCATTATCACCTGTTCTTCATCACCCCACCTTAATCTCTCTCGCCTAATACTTATCACTTTCCTCTACCTGTGATTTTCATTCCATCATCATCAGCATGCACCACGACTTCGTTATGCAAGATCCTAACAGCTGGCGATCTTCAGCAAGAGTTTCTGCTCTTTTCTGCTGCTCTCATCTCCTCCCTCTTCCTCTATACGCATTCTTACGCCTACTCTACCATAATCCGAATGTACCACCAACAATAAACCCTACTCCCTACGCCCACACGTCTATCCCGTTGTTACCAGTATGCAAGGATGAAGCACTTACTGGCTGACCCTGCGTTTCAATGTGTCCAAGCTCCTTGATCCGCCTCTGTCGCCTACAGTTTGGTTTTGCTTCTCTCCTCCGAGGCGGCCTGCAACTCCTGCAACTCCTCCTAGCGCTCCTCCTGTATCTCCTCCTAGCGCTCCTCCTGTATCTCCTCCTAGCGCTCCTCCTGTATCTCCTCCTAGCGCTCCTCCTGTATCTCCTCCTAGCGCTCCTCCTGTATCTCCTCCTAGCGCTCCTCCTGTATCTCCTCCTAGCGCTCCTCCTGTATCTCCTCCTAGCGCTCCTCCTGTATCTCCTCCTAGCGCTCCTCCTGTATCTCCTCCTGGCGCTCCTCCTGTGTCTCCTCCTAGCAACCCTTTACTCAACGATAGGAAGATATTATTACTCTAGTAGCAGCAAGCCAGGCAGACAAATAGACTATACCACAGCCGCCTCAGAGCAAGCTAGCATAAAATCAGAGGCAGCGTTTTAACCATTACCAAAAGATGCTTTGAAATTTGTACGAACACTGAGAGGTGTGAGCACAGTCAACGTGTGTTGGCTCAACGTGGAGTGACATTGGTTGCTGTTGGTTTTAACCTTCACTCATTGTCATCATGTATGAGACATCAATATGCTCAGAGTCATCTGATTCCTTCAATCACCGGCCTCATCAGCTACAAGGGTCTGTCCTTCCCTCATGTTGTGAGCGGCCATGGTGAGGAGGTCGAGGAAACTTGCGATCGAGGTTCAAGTCGTCGCAGAACGTACACCTAAACCCTAAACCAGGTGACAGACCAAATTTACGCACTGCAACCCTACTGATCAAAGACTCAGCCTCAGCCGCCGTGTCGAGCAATGCGTTAAGAATAATAGTTTGTGCCTTGTACTGAATTGACATGGGAACCATTGGTAAAGACTTGATTCAACGAGGTTCAACAGTTATACGGCATTGTTGAACGGCCCGTAGCCGCCTGCAGATGGAGGTATATCAGGATCGCTCAGACTTGGGCAAAAGAGGACACTTGTCTTTGAAATGACCAAACAGCTGGCAATTGTCGCATTTTACCTTTTTCTTGTCGAATTTCTTCTCCTTGCCCTGCACATTCTCGTTTGGAGTCGGAACAGGCCTCTTGCCCTACAGACGAGGCTAGATTGCTCCGTCGACTGTTCCCCGTTAAAGCGTGTCAGTGCCTCGGGATCCGACTTGCATATCTGGACTCCGTCGTACTCCTGACCCCGCTCATACTTCGTAGGACTGACCACGGAATGAGGATATACTCAGATTGCATGCGGAAACTTTGCGTTCTCCTCCAAGATGTCCTGGAAACTGGCTCTCCAGGAGCCAGGGGAATCGTCTTTATCGTTCTCATCCTTCCCCCACAAGCTTGGCGTCTTCGGGTTTCCGACAGATCACCGTAGCTGTTTCCGACGGATCACCGTAGCTCGCGGACCAGACACTGCTTGTAGGCAGCTCCGAGGTTCCATTAAATGTCTCCTTCACGAGCCTTGCCCAACCTGGACATGCTTCGACTCATGAAGTTCAAGACACTGTTTGCTTTCTCTACTCTGCCAGGCTGTGTGACACAAACCTTCGGCACCTTTTTGGCGAAGGTTTGTGTCACTTAGCCACTACCTACTCTGCCATGGTTTTCTTGAAAACCTTTGGGTTTATTGATTGAAAATGGAAATGCAATCCGGAGCAAACAAGGAGGAAAAGGAGAAAACCTACAAATCCGCCTCAAGAAAAAAACCAGGAAACGGAGGAGGCAGCAAAACCGCTACTGGAACCAGGTCACTGATCAGATAGTTTTCAAATTTGACGTTTTTCTTTTTCACTGAACAGAAACTGAAATGACCCCCACACCACCACTGCATGGAAAGTGAAGCAAGATGACCCCTTATTGTGACTTCAAATTCGTGTATCTGGGTGGGGTGAGTCATATACCCCACCCCTAGGAGATGTCCTGAACGTAACTGGCGCCATGGCCGAAACTTCAAGATTCTGAGGAGTGGAAGGAAGACGAGGAAGTCGAGGACAAGAACATGAAGGAGACGATGCTGGGAGAGAAGATCACAGTGAGAGATCGACTAGAATGTGAACTGGCGGAGGGATGAGGGAGCCGGCGACTGAAAGCCGTGTTGGCTTGGAGTAGCCTGCGTAGTGGGTCGAGACAGGTACTTCAACCTGCATACACGAAAGAGGAACCAAAGGATTGGACTGAGAGATCACACCAACGAAAAATCTTCATCATGGATGGGGGATGGCTACAGAAAACTTTCGAGAGCATGGAGAGAGAGGGAGTGGGAGGTTGGAATGTTCCTAATGTCATCCTATTCCTCCCTGGCAAGATCAAGGCGTTCCAGGCAGATGTTATAGGTCGTCTGAGGAGCTGCAGCATGCGAGCTGTGCAACCAACGATGGAGATAGGAAGGAGCAGGTCGGACGGGGGACGGATGCCAGTGCAACAAGGTTCCAGGGTGACAGCGTACACAGTTAGGATCCGCAGGGAGAGTTGCGAGCTGACTCTGCATGATGCTCTGTCCGTCGAGAACTTCTTCGGCGGTCTCGTGCAAAAGGATCATCTAATGCAGATGTACGACAGTGGCACTGATAGCCTCCTCATCCAAGCCATGTGGTGCCCCCACTGGTGCAAGACAGTTCAGCACAAACTTCCCTCTCGGATCCCCAGGGAAGGAGAACCTGAGCTGATGGCGTTCGAGCGCATCATCTCCTTCCATAGCAACGTGGGAATGATCCTCCAAGCCAAAGTGCTGGAGGGCGTCGAGAGGATCGTGAAGTGCATCATCGGTCAAGCCAAGACGCCTCTGAAGATAAGGAGGCTGGATCTGTTCTTCATGTGAGTTGAAACTTGTTGCTCCACATTGTAGAGCATCAGGTGTTGAGGTTCCGTGCAGGCTAGCAGATGGTACAGAGCTCCTGTTTCTCTTCTGTGCTGGAGGGGAAGCATCCCACAACTCAGTACCTCTCAACATGAGTGGTGCAGAGAAGACTAACGTGAACGAGATCCTGTGAGCAAGAGAGGACTTGTTGAGGATGGGATGAGGGGATGACAATGAAGAGCAGGCGAGACTCTGTCATGCAAGGAAGGCAACAGAAGGATTCGATGAGGTCCAAGAAGGTGACGAGACAACTTCATAGTTTGCGCAAGATCTCTTCCTTGACTGGTCACAGAGCGATAGCGGGATTGTTGTCTGTCCATCCTGTTTGAACCCCTGCGAATCGGGCCAGAGGCAAAACTTGGACACAACAGGAACGAATGTTGTGTGATCTGCTGTGTAGGTACAAGGTCAGTCTGGACGCGATCATGCACTTCTTTCAAACCTACTCGTTCCAAGCAGCGGTGAGAGGGTTGTCGCTGCCGTTTGTGATTCAGTGAGAAGACATTGGTGCAGGTGCAGAAACTTGAGCGGAATGGCATCCGTCTGCAAGAATGCAGGTATGAAAGCTCAGCTAAGGTGGCCGAGAAGCGTCTCGGGGAAGTCCTGGAGGACATGGCGGATGAGGATGGTGGGTCACGAGGCAAGCCTGCGAGAAAGTCGAACGGGGACATGATAGCCAAACTTTGCTGTTCTGCCGATGGTCAAGAAAAGCTGTTTGGTGAGTCTCAGCATCGCTCGTTCCTCCTGCTCTTGATCGTGCTCTCTCTTCTCTCCTTGCTGGTAGTCACCTCCTCCCTCTGTCCCGCCCTCCCTACGAAGAACTTCCTCACGATTGCATCTTCATCAGGCTTGCGATCGGCGCTTGTGGAGGAAGAAGACCAGAAGACTGATCCGGCAGAGAAGAAGCAGGGAAGGACTGGCTGAGGTTGACTGTTGATTTCAGGTCCGCTTCTATCCTGGGGAGCTGTCCCCTGCCATGGAGACAATCTATCAGATGCTCCGAATCGAGTTCATGCAGGTGTCAGGCGAGGCTGGTGGGGAGGGGATTGTTTGACTGAGAGCCTGTTTGTCTCTGCTAGGATTATGTAGAGCAAGTCCAGAGAGGGTCGAAGAGGAAGGCGGACAAACCAAAACTTCCTCAACCCCCGACAAGGCTGGAATTCAGAACGATGAGGGGTGACCCCGCTCTGCTGGAGAGAAGCGTGCTCAAGGTAGAAACGGGGATCATTCCGTCCTTTGCTCGTGTTGTGTGTGTGTGTGTTCTCAGAGAATTCTCCTTCTAGAGTCTCCAACTTGCTCTCCGCGGAGTTTCACTGACACGTCAGCAGCTGTGCGATCGATGCGTCACGCAGGTTGTGAATGCGAAGACAGAAACCATCATCAACACCATCCGTGAGCTTCTTCTCGACATGACATGACGATTGTGATGTTTGGCCCTCACTTGCAGATAGAGAGGTCATGCCACTGGAGACTCACCGAAGTTTGCCGCCTGATCTGGAAGCGATGATGCTGGCGAGGAACAAGAGGATCAAGCATCGAAAGGTCAGCAAAGAGGAGAGATCGGGTGTCATAAAAAATGTGACGACAAGGATGGTGATGTTTGCTTTTAGTTGTTGTATTGATGATGGTGATGTCGATGATGATGATGATGATGATGATGATGATGATGATGATGATGATGATGATGATGATGATGATGGAGATGATGATGATGATGGAGATGATGATGAAGATGATGATGGAGATGATGATGATGATGGAGATGATGAGGATGATGGAAATGATGAGGATGAGGATGATAATGATCAGGAGAAATTTTGTGGTAGAGAAGGAGGGTCGCAATGACGCAGTTGGACAGGAGAAACATCCTCTGAAAGAGGGCGACGATATTAGAAGTCAGGGGAATGGAGGGATGAAATCAATGAAGCTTCTTCCTTCGCTCCCTTCTCCTGCGAAACAACCTGGGGGTCATGGGAGGGGCGATGATTTACCAGGCATGAAGGATTACAGCAGCTTTCAGCTCCTGCCACCAATATGAGGCAGGAAAGATTCTTGGAAGCTTTGTTGTAGCTTCTTTCAACTCCGAACTGCGTACTAGTAATGAGTTATGATGTCAGCCTTTAGATGTGATTGAATTCTCCGTGAACTGTTAAAGTTATGTATCTTCTCCACATCGACGGCTTCTACTTGTTATAGAGGAACCCGTCATGCCCTCCCAGGATCTTCCCGGCTCAAAAGATTCTGGGCCATCCGCTGGTTGGATGTAGAGAACTCCACAAGGAGAGCAAGCACAAGTTGTCATCGACGTCAATCATGAGACAGAAAGTTCCGAAGCATGCGATGTATTACAAGGACAAGGCGAGTAGACTTATAAGTCAGAAGTTCCTTCCATCAGTCGCACATCCCCTGGCTGATCCCTTCACTTCAATCCTTACTGGAAGGTGGCAACCAATCCGGGCGGTGGCGATGGCCTCGTCTGCCCAGCACACGGTCAGGAGAGGCAAGGAACAGCAGCCTCTTTCAGGGACTTACAGGGGTGGAGAACCTCGAGGGGGGTGTTGTCACCGACACCCTCGCTGTCCCATGCGCCTCCGTCACCGAAGCCGGAGTAGTTGCCGCAGCCCATTGGAAGGTAAGCTGAAACACGAGCCGTCAATGGCACACATGCATGCTACCCCCGCATATCCAAGCACTCTTAACGACGCTCTCGTTCACTTCCACACTCCAATTTCGAGCCTGTGTACATCCCTGGCACTCTTGCACTTGACTTCCTACCTCCTTCCTCTTCACATTCTGCTTACTACTTGCCTATGATTTCATTCCCCGACTCCTCATTTAGTCAATTTTTTCTGCTACAATCTTCCCTGATCCAAGTTTCCTCTAGTGCCAAGCCAACCTTCATTCTGGCTCTGTTCTGTACGCGTGACAGCGCTTATCTGTCAAAACAAGTTCTCTGCTGGGAGTCGTCCTCTATTTATGAACTCTCCTACATAACAACCTTCATCCACCTCTGCTTTCCATTCACTTCACCTACACCTCATCTACCCATCAATTTCTAAATCCCAGGCAGCCATTGGCATCGCAGCATTCTGTGGATCATTCTTCGCCACCGATCGCTCTAAATAGCTCTTGAGTTTCGTTCCTCTCATTTCTCACTTCCCTCCTCGCTCCTCGCTCCTCCCCTCCTCCTTGCTCCTCGCTCCTCCCCTCCTCCTCCCCTCTTCGCTCCTCGCTCCTCCCCTCCTCCTCGCTCCTCGCTCCTCGCTCCTCGCTCCTCGCTCCTCCCCTCCTCCTCCTCCTCCGCCACTTACGTTGAGTAGTGTGCGCATTGTCCACTCGAAAGGCCAAGACCTACCCACCTCTATATCTCACTTTCCCTCCCTATCTTGTACCCCCCAATTTCCCATTCACTACCCCCCTTTTCCTGCTGGTCCTCTCAAAAAACATCCACTACCCTCATGAGGGAGCCTTATTGACCACCCACCCCTGATGTACATGTTGTCCCTTCGGCGCCTGGCCTGTAAGAGGGTGGGGGTACATCGCATTCAGTACCCTCATGTTCCCACAGATTGATGGAGATCTGGGGGTAATGGAGGAAATCAAGAGATACAAAAGGGGGTGGGTACAATTCCGGAACACATATGACCCGGTGGGGGGCAGGGGGGCGGGGTGCGAGAAACGAGTGGGGTAGGGTAGGAGTCCGGAAGGGGGTAGGGTGATGTCGGGTAATGGGAGGGATGAGGGTAAAAATAAAAAAATTCTTGTAAAAAACTTTTTTTCTGCAGAGCGGGGATGTGGTCATCATAGGCCGCCATGGTACGATCCCGGGCAGAGGCGCGTCGCGTGCTCGGGGAGGAGCCGAGGAAGGGCAAGGGCAAGGGCAAGGGCAAGGGAGGAGACAGCGGCATGCGGAGAGGAGACGCAGGGGAGGTCGGCGAGACGTGGGAGGAGAACGAGGGAGAGGACAGTCACGATATCCACACCCGGAGGAAGTTCTGCAGGAAGGTACTTGAGCTCTGTCCCTTGCCCCTGCCGACGCATCCTCGTTTCGCCGAGCTCAGAGAGCTCATCCTCTGCTACTCTCGGGTTTCGCCTTGTTGCAAGGACTTGGATACTAGCGAGAGCGAGGGAGACGACGAGGTCCAGTACGGCCCAGGCTACCTCCACGATTTGCTCAACGCCGCGATGCTGGTTGAAGTGAACAGCATGTACTCCACTTTCACACTCATCTGCTCATGGCAGGAGGAATACACATACCTGTGCTCGAAGCACTCCAGGGATTTCGACCTCTCTTCAGACGTAAAGTTGAAATCTCACCCTGGCCTTGCCCTAAACCATTTCTGCAGGGCTCGGGGAGTAGAGACTGGAAGACAACCTTGCAGAGGATCTACAACTATGAGAAGATGATGAGACCGAAGGGATCACATCAAGCTACTGATCAAGACATCGAAGAGGAGCTGATGGAAGACGAGGAGCTCAGGAGGAGGTTTGAGGATGCCAAAGCCGGTGAGCAGTGGCATATCTTGATGGTGATGGTGATGATAGAAATGGTGGTGGTGCTGCTGCTGATGATGATGAGGAGGATGAGGATGATGGAGATGATGATGATGATGAGGAGGAGGATGATGGAGATCATGATGGAGATCATGATGATGATCATGATGATGATGATTAGGAAGAAGAGTAGAGCAGGACAGCAGGACAGCAGGAGCAGGAGCAGGAGCAGGAGCAGGATGTGTTATTTGTCTGTCAGGTGTTGGAGAGCCTCTTGAGAGGGTCCTGAACGACCTCAAGAGACTGAGAGAGTTGAAGAGGCTGAGGATGGTCCACGAGGCGAGGAAGGAGGACAGGAAAGCGAGCAAGAGGGCAGCTGAAGAGAACGAGAGCGAAGCCAGAAGGAGGGCGGACAGAGCCATGGAAGAGCTGCTGCAGGAGGAGGAGGAGACGAAGAGGACGGGAAGCAAAGGTAGATCCCTAGAGCTCTTCTCTTTGCTGCCTCACAGTCTTGTCTAGCTGCAAGGGACGTTGCCAAGGACTCACAGAAGGAGCAGAGTGCGAGGGAGGAGGAGAGTCAAAATTCTTCTCCGCCGGCGGAAGCGGAGGCAGCGGAGGAAGGGAAGAAGAAGCTGACTAAGTCACAGAAGAAGGTCCTCAAAGAGCAGAGGAAACAGGAGACCCAGAAGGCAAGGAAGGCAGAGAAGAAAGCTCTCCAGCGGCAGCGGAGGAGGGAGGAGAGGCAGGAGGAGGACGCGGGGCAAGAGGACTTATTCGATGAGGGGTGCGCGTTCGTCAAGGGCTCAAGGTCTATCAGGACGACGCAGGAGTCCCCGGCCCGCCCTGCTCCCCCCAAGGCGAACTGTATTCTCCTCCCTGACCTCCCTTACCTTGAAACGCTCGGGCGGCTCGAACCGTCTTCTGCTCCTGTTGGCAGTGCTCCGCAAGTAATTGATGGGATACAGAGGAAGCAAAAGGATTCCAGCTCCTCCCCGTCCTCTTCCGACGCGAGGAAGTCAGGAAACATCCATGGGCAGAGGCAACAAGTGGAAAGAGTGAGCATCCCCTCTCTTCTGCTCTGAATCGTCCTTGTCCTTCTCTCCCTCCTCTCTGCCTCACCCTCCCCCACCTTTCTCCACCTCACCCTCCCTTTCGCCTCTCCTTCCTCCCCTCCCCCTCTCCCTTGTGATGATCTGTGGGCCTGCAGGAGACGAGGAGTGAGTCTTACATGGAACCTGGAGGGGCAGAAGCTCAAAACGAGAACCCGAACACGGAAGGTCCACGTTGCTCTGCACTGCCAGCATACAACGAGCCGCCACGGCAGCTCTCTGCTCATTCTTCTAAGCCTCCTCCTCCTCCTTCTTTCAAGCCTCCTCCTGCACCTGCTCCTCCTTCTATCTCGCAGCCTCCTCCTCATCATACCCAGCCTTCTCCTTCCTTATCTCCTCCAGCTCAACCCGTTCATCGTCCTCCGTCACACTCTCCCCTTGCTGCTCCTCACTCCTCGCCTTCCCTCTCCAGTCCCTCTCATGCTCCCCCGAGGCAGAATGACCAGTCATCGTTGAGAGGAGGGGAGCAGGAGCGTCACCTGACCAGAGGAGAGATCCTTGAGCAGATTCGCCGTCGACAGGCTGCGAGGAAGCAGCGAGACTTCGGCACAGCCGATCGCATCCGCCAAGATCTCTTCCGCAAGGGAGTCGTCCTCGAAGACCGGGGAGGGAGGACCTTCTTCTCTTACAGGACTCCCAGCACGCAGTGGGGAAAGACCGTCGATTCACCCCATCCTCCGCAATGCTTCCCATCCTCCCTGCCGTCAGCAGCGCACAGCCCGAGCGGTGCAGGAGAGCTGGGCAGAGATGGAGGAGAAGAGGAGAGGATCGAACGAGAAGGAGAGATCTCTCAACGGGAACTTGCTGACCAGCAGCTGGGAACGATGAACACTCTCGAGAACTCTTGGGGTCCCAGGGGGTGTCCAGCTGAGGAGGGGAAGGGTGTTTGGTTCCAGCAGGACTTTGCAGCGATGCAGGACATAGACGAGCATGATTTCGACCTTCCGCTCCTTGAGGAGGAGAGGAAGGAGGACGACGACGAGGAGGAGGAGGCAGGGAGGGAGGATGTTCCATTTCTCGAGCGGTACCACCGGGGGCTCTTAGGGAAGGCGTGGACTGCTTTTGACAAGCTGGTGTGGGAGGAGGAGGAGAAGTTTCTAGGAGTGCAGAGAGCTTTCAGCTCGCCGCGGACGTCGATGATCTTCGAAAAGTGGAGGAGAATCCCGCTTTCGTCGGAGGGCAGCAGATACGCAGGGATAGAGGGAGCTGGAGCTGGAGCTGGAGCTGGAGCTGGAGCTGGAGCTGGCGAAGGGGGTTGGAGGTCGAGAGATGCGTCCCTTCTGGGGGTAAGGGCTGAGAGGGAATGAAAGACTTGGAACGTGCGCGACTAACTGACGCAATACCGCCAATTCATCCTCGTTTATCCTCTTCCACCTCTCTTCCGCCCCTCACAGGTCATGCCTCCTCCATGGCTTTATTCCCAGCGTTCTTCCGTCACTTCTCACAGCCCCTCCCCCTCCTCCGCAACCCCCGTCGTCCCCGTCCCAACGTCCCTCTCCGTCCTGCCTGCAGCACCTGCGTGCACCCCGCTCGGCTCCTCGCCCTCGAACATCCCAACACTGCCGAGCTCGAGCAGTTTCACTTCCTCACTTGATCAGATGGCGCCCCCCCCTGTTGCTGCCGTCGTACTCCACCTTCACCGCGTCCCCAGTGATCATCAGCACGCTATAGACCTGCGCGAGGACGGTCAGGAGGGGCTGAGCCTGAGACCCATGAGGAGCTGGCGAGACGAATGTAGAAGGCAGAGTAGATGCAAGGAGCTATAGGAGAGAAGAGCAACGAGCCAGAGGACGGAAGAGCAAGCAGGAAGAGGAGGAAGAGGAGGAAGAGGAGAGTATGATCCCATCGCTCACCCTCATCTTGTGTGACATGTTGTTGATGGTCATCTGCTGCACGTTGTACTGCAGCACAGCATTCCCTCCCATCGCCGACGCCTGCGCGGTGCACCTGCCAGGTCATGAGGAGGAGGCGGCGAATGCTCGGACGCACATTGACTGTCCTTCCATGAGCAGCTTGTGAGTCCACACTGACATGTTCCCCTCCTCGCTCGCCTTGAGGACCTCCCGGATCATGCAGACCATCACCTGGTGGTTGATGAGAAGAGCGGGGATTGGCGAAGGGCCGAAGTGGAGCAGCAGAAGGAGGAGACGCAAATAAAGGGCAACGTCGGGAAAGGGAAGAGCAGGAGGAGATGAAGCATGAAGCCAGGAGGTGGAGGGGAGGAGGGAAAAGAGGAGCGCAGGTGCGGAGGTATTGGATACCCTGTCGATATGAACGAGGACGCGAGCCCCGGGAATGTAAGACAGAGGGGTGAGCTCTATCTTCGGAGTATTCTCACTGTCATGCCAGGAGGGAGAAGCCTCGTCCGCCTCCGCTGCTGGCAAGTAAGTTTGCAAGCTGAGGGGGGGAAGTGACGGAGAAAACTCACCAGCAGGAGCATCGGAGCGAGGCCCTGGAGATGTCGAGGTCACGTCCGCCCGAGAACTGCTGTCCTGTGCTACGGCCATGGCCACCATGCCAAGCTGGAGCATGTTGTCGTCGGGGAAGGAGAGGTAAGTCTTGAGGCCGCACAAGAGGCACGGGTCGAGACAAGCCCTCAGGCGAAAAGAGAGCGCGAAGAGCATCTCCTGAATGATGGCTGCAGGACGATGTCAGCATGTCTTCTTCTTCCTCCTCGCGCCTGTTGGTTCACCGGAGAGGATAGGGCCGAGCGCTTTGGAGTCAACAGAGAGAGAGACGCGACGGAAGTAGGAGAGGAGCTGAATGTTCTTGAGCTGGGCGAGGGGATTCTGTGACCTTGCCGTTAGCACCGAGATGTGACGGCACAGCATCAGCAAGCAGAGGGGGGGCAAGAGAAGGGTCGGCGGGATGATCCTCACTTGCATTGGCGTTGGCAACCTTCCAGTGGTACAAACGCCTGGAGGTTAAACCAGTCAGGGTCGAGGGTGGAGGAGAAGGTGAAAGGGAGAGCCTACCAAGGCAGAAACCGGAAGACTCGTCGAGAAGTCCAACGATGTCATTTTCTCCCTACACAGCTTCCTCACACCACATCACATCTCAATGACTCAGCCTCACTTGGTCGTCGTCGATCTCTAACACGTATGCGGGTTTGGCCTAATAGATGTCACACAACATTGCAGGAGAGGAAGCGTGGGTACAGCGTTGTCTTGACTATCATCTGAGGAGGAAGAGGAAGAGTCCGAGCTATCTGAGTCTGGAGGATACACCACCACAAGTGAGGAAAGGAAAAGAGATGGCAGGCATGGGAATAGAAGAGAGGAGTTGAGCGATGAGGGGTGAGGAGGACAATCAAGAGCAAGATGGAGAGGAGACCCGAAATGTCAGCCGTATCTGATCTCAAAGACTCGCGCAATTTGTAAGCCTGACATGAGCGTCAATGAACCAACTGATATCGGGCAAGCCAAGTCACTTGAGCTCGATTCGAATCCGAAAGCTCCACAAGACGAGATATCAAGGTGAGCTGATAATGTAAGTAAGAGGTTACAGGATGTATGGTTTCTTTCTCCTCACCCTTCTGTGCGCTGCATTTCCCGGTCCGAGGGATCCATCTCTGTCTGCTCTGGAGATCATGAGAGGTTGAGGGATGGGCAAAGCTCCAAGCAGCACCTGCAAAAACTGTCAAAAGACGGATGAAATATCGCGGGAAACACGTACGGAGGTTCCCGTCGCCATGCAAGCAATCAAGCCTTCACTGATGCAGAGCTGATAGAATGTAAGTTCGACGCATTACCAATGCACGCCTACCTGTAGACGAAGAGCAAACACCGCGTTGTGAGCTCTAATCTTGAGTTTCGACATGATCTGAGAAACAAACATTGCTTCAGAAGAGATTTTGAATTTTTATCGGATAGTGCTCAGGTGGGAAAGGAAGAAGAGAGAACACCTGCTTATGTACATCATACTCCAGGAAGGGCATGAGCTCGCTAACTCTGGAGGCATTAATTTCCACCCCCTGTGACAGAATTCAGCTGAGCTCAAGAAAACTGACTAATCCTACCCTCCTCTCCCCCGATATCGACCGACAAACATGCACCTCCAGCATTTCGCCACGTCCCTGAGACAATGCATGAGCCCAGAGCAATTACAATGAAGAAGAAAGTGACAATGAAAGGAGTTAAAAGGAGAAACGAAATAATCGATTCAAGTCAGACGGGCAAGACCCACCTGAACTTCGAGTTCTTCGGGCAGTTCTACCGTACACAGCATGACATCAGGAACATATTTCCTTCACGTCAAATCAGTACAGGAGGTGCACATGCAGCATTAATACCTCCCACAGATATTGCAGAGTACAAGCCTCATCGAGAATGGAGGGCTTCTGTGAGAATACGGGATGTGGCAAAGAGAGCACGAAGACGCCCGATGGCCACTGCGACATGTCAATCACCCCAAGCACTGAGTAGCAACTTGCAACCTCATGTCAGGGATATTCGGAGTCTCTTCTCTTGGGCTAAGAGTCCCCTTTATGGCCAATGATCAGATCGCATCATTCTCGTCAGCTCGTATTGTTCATCTACCACGTTGAAATTTGGTTTTCGCGATCCGGAGATGCCTGTGTCTAGGATCGCTGCTGTACCTGCCGCAGATAGAACACAGACGCCTTCCTCAGTGATGGTGGTTGTTTCTGTATAGCCGATGACATGGCAACAATCCAGTGACCTGGGAGATCATGTGAGTTGTTTTCTTCAATCCTTTCTTTCTCCTCCTTCCACCTGGCATGCGCCTTGATCTCTTCTCTAAGCTCATTCCACCATGCATCGCGCGTAACAACAACCTTTTCTTGATTCCCAGCTTGTCCAACCACCTTTCAGCGTTCCACTAGTCAAGATACAAAAAATGCGATCGACTGCAGGATCAACAAGAATCTGTATCTACCTTGACAGATCTAGCAGCTACCATCCCACCGATGAAGCAGACAGTTCCTGAAGGGAACTCCTGCAAGAAATTCAGTGGTCAACAACAAGGTGACGGCTCAGCGATCACTTGCAAACTGAACAGCTCAATGTCTTGTAGCCTTAGGTTGGCCCTGAAGTGCTCGCGTTTGCTCCGATGCAACGTCCTCAGTTGTGCTTGCGGAAGAGGCTCTAGCTCTTTCAACGATGGCAAGACATTGTCTGCTGGGATGAATCGGACAGAAGGGGAAGCGTTCTCTTGAAACTTGGGAACATCTTCCAACGAGAGCTGTTGCAAGGTGCCTATCGCTGGATGATTCTCCACGTCAACAACCAGCGGTGATGCGCTCACAGGATCGGAGCCATTGCCGACAGCCGCAGCGCTGCTCGGAGGAGCGACGGTGCTGGAGGGCAGCGAGTTGTTCAAGGACGCCAGAGTGTTTGTGGTTCCAGCGTGTCCGGTAGAAAAGCTGTGGTTCATTTGTCCCGTGTCCCTCCGCTCTAACGTCACGGCAGTGCCGATGCCGCGTGCGATGATGAAGTTGTCTTCGAGGTCAAAATGTGCCTGATAGCCCAACAATGCATTCCCTCCGCAGTCTGTCACCTTGCGCCCAATCTGGCGGCGAAGTCGCCCGTCCATCACAAGCATCAACAACTGGCAGGAGGAAGAAACATCAGGGCTAATCACAGCGACCAAAGATAGTCGACACTGACCTGCCTCGCATCATTGGAAGATCTCGACGATCTGAAGTTGTCCTGCCAGTTGTATTCCGGATCATCCTCCACAAGAAGCTCGTCCACGAGCCCATGGATTCCAGCCACGTAAAAACTTTCTGGGGGTACGGATGCAGACAAGACGGAAATTCCCACAGAGGAGTCCTCAACAGGGTTGAAGTCCATGATGTGCTGAATATAGACCTTGACCTGCAACTCTCCGCAGATCCCTCTCAGCGTGTCGTAGATGGGGAACCATCCATAGATCTGCCGCTTTTGATGATCCTCCGACCTGTTGGCATTGATGCTGACCTTGTCTCCCTCGTACAGGCTGCTGCAGTGGACGTATACCGTTCCAATCACGTCATCGGCAGAGAGAACGTCGTAGTCGAAGATCCTAAGCTGGAGAGGCTCATCCTGCAGAAGGCAGTCGTCGGTCACATCACACTTGAGCTGCTCGTTCCAGACGGGGCTCAGAGTCTTCCTCGCGGTCTGAGTCTGCACAGGCTCGAAGGTCACGCCCTTCAGCTGCGGCTTCACGTAGGCGTCGCACAGGCCAGTCGCTCGGTCCATCACCGGCAGCGAACGAGCCTGCAGGACATGCACGAACACCCGCGTCGGCATTCCCCCGCAAACCTTGCCGTCCTATGAACCCCTCATCCCCGCTCAGCAACGGGACCGGGCCTGACCGGGCAGCCCGGGGCCGTAAGTCCGAGTGGACAGGGACTACTGAGTGAGTGGTGTCAGCCTTCATCTCCCTCATACACAACGGAACCGAACTCAGGGTCAAAGCACCACTACCCACCTTGCAGAGTTGGGGGTGGTGAAGGGATAATACAGGGGTCCAGAGTGAGGAATCGGTTGGTAAAATTTGATGAGGAATAATGAAATTCATTATATATTTCAAGTTTTAGAGAGTGTTTTCAAGGAAACCTGAAATTTTGAAATGCTTCTCGATCCGCGGGAAGACAACCTTCTGTGTTCTACACCCCCTTCCTGATCACCCCACCCCATCATTTGGCATGAAATGCAAAGTTACCGGTACTTTTGATATGGAATTTGTGGGTAATCCCAAGGATTTTGGCACACACTACACTACCCTCGAGACGGGGAGAACCGGTACTCACCCCACCCCTACTTTTAAACGCTCTCAACGGCTGCGCGGCATCTACGGCGGCTAACCATGGTGAGTGAGGACAACCAAGACGTGTGTCATGCGAAGAGAGGAAGCAATGGTGATTGTTTGGGGGAATCAGCATCTACATGCTGGTTAATTGTCGTGGTTGTCGTACGATACAAGCGAGTGTTCCGGGGTATTCTTGTTGCATTTACATAGTTGCTCGTGTGTGCTAGGAGACGAATATCTATCAAGAGAATGTATTAGTGTAATGGTTCGATTTCCTAATGAGTGCGTGTGGATTAAGGACCGGAAAAAAAATACGTGCGCTTAAGTCATGTGAATTTGTATGATTGTTGTGAAGTTTCTTTCGCAAATGTGTTGCAATCCAGGCAAAAGTTTTGTTGTTTTGGAGGGCCATTGTATCCTTCTCGTTTCTTGTTGTTAGGTCGTTTTCCTGTTTTGTGACGTATTGAGAATTAATCTCTCCTAACCTGATTTGTAGGCTGAACAACTCTCTGAAGAACAAATTGCTGAATACAAGGAAGCGTTCTCGCTGTTCGACAAGAGCGGCGATGGTACCATCACAACAAAAGATCTAGGAACTGTCATTCGTGCTCTGGGAAAGAATCCGACGGAAGCTGAGTTGCAGGACATTATCAACGAGGTAGATCCCAACGGCGATGGAACTGTTGATTTCCCTTCTTTCCTCACCATCATGGCTCGAAAGATGAAGGATCAGGATACTGAGGAAGACATCATTGAGGCTTTCCGCGTCTTTGACAAGGACGGGAATGGAACTATCTCAGCAGCTGAGCTACGACACGTTATGACCAACCTGGGGGAGAAATTGACTGATGAAGAGGTCGATGAAATGATCCGTGAAGCCGATGTCAACGGCGATGGAATCATTGACTACAAGGAATTCACAAAAATCATCCTCAACTAACGCGCAGGAGGACTTCCTGTAGTTTTGTAGCTTCTTAACTTACCCTGTAACTCGTTGAACCGGAAATTTAAACTATTTTGATAAATCTGCGAATGTGAGTGTGTAGAAAGTTCAAGGAGCTAAAATGCGTATAGAGGTCGCAGAATTCTTGCTGCTCGTCCCGACCTGCCTTGCTCTTGACAAGCACTTCCCCTCCCCTTCCCCCTTCCCCTTCCCCCTCCCCTTCCCCCTTCCTCCCTGTCATCTTGTTCGTCGCTCCAGTTTTTCTCGCATGGTGGTGGGACCCAGATAGCACCTGAGGCGGACCCGTTTGCAACGGCTATGGCGGGAGAGCGACTAGGGGGAAGTAGGAGCGGCGAGGGAGGAGCCGGGCTGAACCCTCTCTGACCTTCTGAGCGACAGGAAAGCAGACATGTTGTATACGAGATTCTTCGCTGCTCCTTCCTGCATGATCAAATAACGGCGCCCCCCTGCCCCTGATATGTGCTGACCCAGGCGATTGTACGCCTGTTGCTACCGCAAGGGGATCCATGGGTGCAGGAGCAAGCGCGGCTGGAGGATCGGAGACGACCGGCTCCACAGCCGGGCATGGCAAGGGCTTGTTCAGCCGACTTCGCTTCAGGTCGGGGGCTTCGGACACAACGTCCCAGGGCCCTGACAACCTGGACGACATCGATCGATTGAGTGACGCTGACGATGACGTGGACAAGCTGCGGACGGCCTTCCGCAAGAGTCAGGATCAGATCCGAGTCCTGGGCGAGAAGCTGGGGGACTCAGAGAGCAGGAACAAGGAGCTCATTCAGAAGCTTCAGGAGATGATGGCTGCGATTCGACTGCTCAAGTCTGAGAACGTGGAAGTGACAAAGGCAAAGGACCAGGCGGAGGCTCATCTCGCCCAGATGGCCAACCCCGAGAGGGAGGCGTACATGCACAAGTACGCTCTTGAAAAGCTGCAGGAGGAGTTTGAGAAGTACAAGGCGGATGTGGCAGCCAAGGAGACGAAACTGCGGCAGGAGCTCCGGAGGATGCAGGAGAACCTCGCCAATCGCTCAGCTGCAGATGAGGCAGCCAAGGCAGCACTGCAGGCAGAGATCAGAGAGCTGAGAGCGGAGCGGGGAAATCTCCTGACGAGGAGGGCAGAAAACGTGAACCCGAAGGGAGAAGGAGATAACGAGGACGTCAAGGTGGAGGGCGACATGAAAGCTGCGGTGCAGGAAGTGAAAGCGAAGTCAGAGGAGGCGCTGATAGCTGCGAACATTGAGATCAAGATGAAAGACGAGGTGGCAGACGTCGCTGTGGAAGCGAAGGCGAGGAAGAGGGAGGTGGTGCTGCAGAAGGGGAAGGAGTACCTGAAGAAACAAGGGGTGATTGCGGACAAAGATCAAGACGATGAGTTCGAGGAGAAGGAGGAAGTCAAGGAGAAGCCAAAGATCATTGACTTTGCGTTCAATCGCGATGTAGCGAACTTGCAGTTCAACAACGACAACTACATGCGCTTCATGGTGGAAGAGCCGGAGGACGGGGCCCTTGAGGATGGAGTGGTCGATGTCTGCTCCAAGGAGCTTGTCTGTCAGAAGCATCACCTCGATTCCTTCGGGACGCATGCGGTTGATGCCTACGGCACTGAGCCCTTCATTGCCAGGCAGGATGCGCTCGATCTCTTAGTTGAGTTTGCTCAGACTTCCAAGCACGGCTCCCTTATCCTCCTCGGGCGTCATGGAGTCGGCAAGAGTTTCGTGCTCGCCGCTGCCGCCAAGCAGATTCAGCTAGAGGACCCGCACGCCATCGTCTGCCCCTTGTTCGTCGGGGCGACGAGCGGGTCGAGGGACACGCGGATCCTCCTGCAGACGCTCTGTATGATGCTGAGCAAGTACTCAAGTGCGAAGAGGTTCCAAACGATCCCTGATGCGATAGAGGACGTGAAGCAGTACATCTCAGAGATCATCACGCACCTGGTGGAGCAAGGGCGGCCTCCCATCATCATCATCGATGCGGTCTCTGAGGTCCAGGACCTGTACTCTCCTCCTCTCTTGGAGTGGCTGCCCCTCCTGCTAAGAGAGAGCATCAGCATCATGAGCTTGCTAGACAACAAGGAGCTGCAGGTTGTCTCCAGCAAGGTGCAGCTGGGGTACGTGATCGAGCTGGACTCCTTCGACGGCGAGCAGAAGATCGCGCTCTTCCGTTACCTCGTCACGAAGCACAACACGGCCGTGACAACGGAGCTCAACCGGCAGAAGGAGGCGATGAGGCAGAAGGCAATGGCCGAGCTGCAGCGGCTCAAGGACGAGAGAATGCAGCGCCGCCTGCAGCGGGAGAAGATCAGAGGCCCATCGAAGAGGAAGAAGAAGGCCAAGAAGGAGAAGCACAAGGCTGAAAAGGACGAGGCGGATGCGAAGGGCGGCAAGGAGGGAGACAAGGAGGAGCAGCAGGAGGAGGAAGATCCGGGTCTCCTGGGAGTCTACGAGACAGAAGCTGTCCTGGAGAAGCCCGACAGCGGCCTCGCCATCTACCTGGTGATGGCGGTAGAGTATCTCCTCAGCCTTGAGCGAAAGCTGCCAGCGCTCGAAGAAGCGAGCATGCTGCCCGGAACCTTCGAGGGCCTCATCGACCACATCCTGGATCAGCTGGAGAACAAGCACGGCAAGGAGCTGGTGCGGAACTCAATGATGTTCTTAGCGTTGGCCAGGTACGGCCTGTCGCAGGCTGAGCTCCTGCAGCTGCTCCTGTCCTCCCCGGAACACCGGGCGAACATAGAGGACCATGTGGACCTGGACTCGGAGAACTTCCTCTGCCTCAAGAAGGCAAGTGACTGGGCTCGCTTCGTCCGCGACCTCGCTCCTCTGCTCCGTCCTCGCGGTCACTACGACATCCGGGCGCAGGACCTGCGACTGCGGCACGAGGGGATCAGGGTGGAGCTGATGAAGCGATACTGCACGCACAAGTGCTTCTGGCACAGAGCCACCAGCTTGGCCGAAGTTCACCGAAGCCTCGCTGACTTCTTCGGCCACCAGATCAACAAGGAGAAGCCCAACGAGCTCGCCAACGCCCGCGGCTCCGTGATGGAGCGATGGCTGCATGCGGAGCTGCTGTGGCAGTTTGTGCACGCGACCCAGGACCTGATTTTCCACCGGATCCTCGCAAAGGACTGGAAGCTCGTCGAGATCCTCTTGACCTCCCTCAAGTTCATCGAGACGAAGTCGCGGGCTGCTGACCCCTATCACCTGCTCACGGACTTTTCAGCCGCGCTGGTGAGGGAGGAGTGAAGTGAGGAAGGGAGAGGTACTAGGGAACGGGAAGGGAGGGAGAGTTGGAGAAGAGAGTTATGACGCTGGGAAGAGACGAGCCTCATGTTGTCTGCAGGATGCGACTCACTTCATCTACTCCGAGGAGGATGACGACAGCATTCCGACCTTGAGCTTTCTGCAGAGGATCAGGATTGGAGACTTCCAGAAGTTCGTCAACACCTTCGCAGATATCTTCAAGCTCCACCCCGAGCTTGTCATCCAGCAGGTGCTCACCTCTCCACCCCCCTCCGACGCGTGACGTGTTCCTTGTGCGCAGGGGGCGAACATGCCGGACGAGTCGTCGGTGGCGGTGGAAGCGCTGCGCATCGTGAGCAACGAGAAGGTTGAGGTCGCCTGGTTCAAGTTCCTCAACAAGAGCCAGCTGGGCGATCCCTGTATCATGACCCTCAAGTGCAACGGGCCCATCGAGTGCGTCGCTTACAGTCCAGACGGGCGGCAGATCGTGACAGCGTCGACCGACGGGTTCGGAGGGAAAGTCTCGGTGTGGGACAGTCGGAGCGGGTTGGAGGTCGGAGGGTTCGCGACCCCTGCGATCCCAAAGTCGGTCTCCTTCTCCGGGGACGGGAGGCTGCTCCTGGCGGTGTCAGCGGAGGGGACGGTCGTGCTGTGCGACATGATGAGCCTGAAGGAGAGGGCGAGGGAGGTGCTGGGCAGCACGTTCATCTCCGGAGGAGCGCTGTCCATCGACGGGAAGAAGATGGTCCTAGTGTCGAGCGACGGGCTGGTCAACCTGTGGGACCTGCCGCAGCTGGCGAGCCCGTCGGGGCAGATCTACAACAGGTATGAGAAGATGTTTGAGATCGTCGACGAGGACGAGGAGGGCAGGCCCTCGCCCATCACCTGCGTCGCCATCAGCCCCAACGTGAACAGAGTGGTGACAGGGATGAAGGGAGGGACGATGAAAGTGTTCGACCTCTCCATGACGGATGGGATGAGCCTGAAGCACGTCCTCCAGGGCCACAGCTCCGTCGTTGTCCACATCGACTTCAACGACGAAGGGAATCGCATCAGCTCTGCGAGTCTCGATCACACGATGAAAGTCTGGGATGTGGAGAGGGGAGGAGCTTTCATCAGCAACTACGAGGACCGCGCCGAGATCCGAGCATGCCACTTCTCCCCCGACGGCTCGTTCGTGGCCGTGGGGCTGGACAGCGGGAGGATCGACCTGGTGGACATTAGCACGGCCATGAGCGTGATGAGCTTCGGGTCTCACTCGGGGCGAGTCAACGACGTGATGTTCGACCACCTGGGCAAGTTTCTCATCTCTGGCTCCATGGACGGACTATGCAAGGTCTTCCTACTCCTCCACCAGCCTCCTCCAGCCTCCTCCAGCCTCCCTCAGCCTCCTCCAGCCTCCTTCTCCTGCTTCCTTCACCTCCTCTTGCATGTGAGGCTGGCACTGACGAGCTTCGCAGGTCTGGGCGATCCAGGACACAGACTCCGCGGAGACTTTCACGGGACATCCCAAGACCGACGTGACATGCGCGAGCTACAGCGCGGATGGGACTGAGCTGGCGACGGGAGCAGGAGACGGCAGCATCAAGCTGTGGGGAGGGAGGAGGGGGAGAGAGATCATGAGCTTCCAAGGGCACGGCGACCGAGTCACCTCCTGCTGCTTCTCACCGTTGGTGGGGGACAGGAAGAGTGGGATCTTGACGACCTCACTCTACGACGGGACTGTGAGGCTGTGGAAGAACCTGACGGGGAGCGAGGACGAAGAGTTCAGGCACAACTCCACCTACCTGACCTGCATCGCCTTCTCTCCCGAGCAGCCGCCGGACGAGCGCGCCGGTCGAGTCCTTGCGGGCTCCTTCGACGGCTCTGCCATCATCTGGGACATCGAGTCGAAGAAGCTGCTGCTGAAGCTCGGGGTTGAGATCGAGGGGACGGGAGGATGGCGCGTCGAGAAGATTCGAGACCGGCACGAGGACGCGGTTGTCTCCTGCTGCTTCCACCCAGCCATGGCGAGCGAGCGCGCTATCACCACCTCCCTCGACGGGACGGCGAAAGTCTGGAACACGCAGTGGGGGAACTGCCTGGCGACCCTCGTGGGGCACATGCAGGCAGTCAACGGCTGCTGCTTCAGCAAGGACGGGCAATTCATCTATACCGTGTCGTCAGATCAGACGGTGAGGGAGTGGATGGCAGGAGCTCCGTACACCTGCCTGTCCGTCATCCGAGGTCACTACGGGCCCATCCACCAGTGCTCGTTCGCCACCAGCGGCAAGCATCTCTTCACTGTGTCGGAGGACAGGTCAGTGCGAGCCTGGCTCAAAGTGAAGCTGGAGGCCGAGGAGTTCAGGCCGGACGAGCGAGTGCGAGTGGGCTCCCAGCACTTCGCAGTCTCCAAGTCGCACATGCAGGGAGAGTTCTCCGAGTTCTTCCAGTGGCATCAAGTCGCTCTCTTTGCCAGCACGCATCCTCTGCGATGCATCGCTGGTAGCACAGGGGAGGACAACGAGGAGATCGCCTGCGGGGCAGCTGACGGGAGCGTCTTCGTGCTGAGACTGATGCTGCCAGGAGACTACTGACATGTCGTCTATTCTTTTCTCTTTCCCTCTGTGCAGATTTTTGTATTTGTTTCGATGTCGAGATTCAAGGAGCCGTCGGTCTTGGACGGTTTTAATCTTCCAGCTCCATCCTCATCCTCTCCAACATCTTCGCTTGGGCCATCTGCATCATTTCCCTCTGGTCTCGCTTCTTCATCGCCTCTTCGATCTTCTTCGACTCCTCTGCGTGAACGTCAGCATCCTCGAGTCACATGCGCGCCTCCTCCCGACCGTCCAGCTGCTTGTTCCTCAAGCTCTTCCGGAAGTCTTCGTCCTCCTGCTTCGCCATCGATGCCAGCTCCTTGAGCAGCGTCTGGCGCTCCAGTGCTCTCGTTCGCTCTTGCCTGCAGGCGTCTCACCCATCACCACACAGCAGGAGGTAGGAGGAGAGGCTGACTGGATGGCAACTTCCTTGGCCCGCTGCTCCTCTCGCTTCTTCTTGGCGAGCTCTTCGGGGCTGAACTCTGCTTTCCTCGCATCGAAGCTCAGGATGTCGTTGTAGCTCCTCCCGGCCAGGTAGTAGATGGAGTAGGAGGGCGAGTGCTCCTGTCCAGCCATCATCTTCCCTCCTCACACAAGGCTCGACACTCCCGCTCCTCCCTCACCTGCAGGCCGTTGTAGTACAGCTGCGCCAGCTGCTCATGGGCGGTCTTGGGGTACTTGCGCACCCACCCGTACCTGCGCAGCGTCAGGTCTCTCGTGCTGGAGATCTCATATGACGCACTCGCAATCCAAGGTCCCTTCCTCGTACACCAGCCCCAGCAGATACGACAGATGCCTCACTGTCAGCTGCCTCGTCTCCTCCGGAGGGTGGTCTCCTGTTAGTCTGCCGAGCGCTCAGAGGAGAGCGAGGAGGGGGAAGCGAGACAAGAGCGAGAGAGGAGAGTGCGGAGGGGGCAGGGAGACAGGGGGACAGGGAGGGATGCAGGAAGGCAGGGAGGATGGTAGGGAGGGAGAGGAGCGGGGAGCACATCACCGGAACCACTGCCTCTCTCTTCCTATATACACATACGGCGATGTGAATCGCACGCAGGCCCCAAGGTCGTCCACCTTCTCGAAGCCCACGAAGGGAGTAACCTACACGCATGTGAGCTCGCTGCTCGCATCGCGCTCCTCCCTCCTCACTGAGTTCCCCGTCGCCGTCACGTACGGGATCCTGTGTGCACACTTGGGAACCTTCTCGTCTCCTTCCTCGAGCCAGCAGGGGTGGTTCCCCTCCTTCAGGCCGGGCTTCCAGTGCTTCAGAGGGAGGAGGTAGCCGCTCTCCGAGTACCCCATGGCCTTGAGCAAGTCCCTCGGCCCAACAGGCACGGGGCGACCCCACACGTTTTTCTTGGGCCTGCGAGCTCCGAGTGTGAACGCGGGTGGAGGAGCTTATGGTAGACCAGGAGGAGGAGCAGCAGTAGGAACGAGAAGAACAGCAGCAGGATGAGGAATACCTCGAGGAGCAGGAGCAGGAGCAGGAGCAGGAGCAGGAGCAGGAGCAGCAGGAGGAGCAGAAGGAGGAGCAGGAGCAGGAGCAGGAGCAGGAGCAGAAGGAGGAGCAGGAGCAGGAGCAGGAGCAGGAGCAGGAGCAGGAGCAGGAGCAGGAGCAGGAGCAGGAGCAGGAGCAGGAGCAGGAGCAGGAGCAGGATGTTTGCTTCAGGGCAAGCTGAGTTGAGCAACCTGATGAGGATCTCCTTGGAGCATGTGGTGATGTCTAGTCCCAGCCCCTCCATGTCAACCTCGTCTGGGTTCACTCGCGCCTTCCTGTACGCCTCCCGCACCGGCAGCCCTCCCAGAGGCCCCGCCATGCTGCTGGTCTACGAGCGTTGCTGTAACCCCGGGGGGGTGGGGGTCATTCGAATATGTTATGTACTACGGTACTTTGATATAGAAAATAGGGGTAGTGGGTCCTGAATCGATCACCCCTGACCCCTGGTAGAAGGTCCGATGAAAATATTTGTGAGAATCGAATTGATGCAGAACAAGAAACAACATGTGACAGTATGACTTCGTGCCTGCCTGCCTGCCTGCCTGCCTGCCTGCCTGCCTGCCTGCCTGCCTGCCTGCCTGCCTGCTTGCCTGCCTGTCCAACCCGTTTCCTCCTCCCTTTCCCTGGCCCTCACATGATTTCGTCTCGTCTTCAGCACATTATTTCTCTCCCTCTCCCTGCTTCCCTTCCACTTATCCTCCGCGCAGCTTGCACTCAAACCATCGTGTCAGCTATGAGTTCTCGCATCAGCTCCTTCACTAGATACACGAGCAGACATTGTCATTCGGTCATCTCATGGTAGACTTGCCCTAGTGGATCGCCAGGCTCTTGAAGCATTCGGTCGCACAGTGCTCCAGCTCCACGTCGGATCCCACGAAGAATTCCTCGGGCACCGTTCGCTCCTGCTTGCCCGACGCCTGCTCCTCCGCCAACCATCAGCAGAGCTCGAGCACAGCCCCACTTCGTCCTCACCTGCTCCCTTGCACGCCTTGCGGAGCTCGACTCGCTCGCGAAGATCTCGTCCCCGCTGTCCTCGGGAGTGGCGGAGGACGGTCTGCGAGGAGACGTCAGCTACGCGTCACCCTCCCACCTCTTCACCGGGAGTTGCCACCCTGCGACTCTTGCGCTGCCCTTCTGTTCCTCCGACCCGTCGCGTTCGTTCTCCCAGCTCGCCGCGTCTTCTTCCTGCAACCGTGCTTCAGACGCTCCTCCTCCCCCTCAACCCCTAGCTCGAGCTCACCAGGGCATGTCCTTGCCCTCGTTGCCCTGGCTCATCCTCTCTGCACAGCTCTGACAGAGGTAGCACTTGGGCAGCAGCGCGATGACGGCGCTGCGCGGGACAGCTCGACCGGGTCGTTCAGCCCTGACCTGCTCCTGCGGCCCCTGTTCGCTAGCGCTCCTCGCGCTGTCGTCACCCCGGAGGTGTTCGGCGTAGAAGGAGTGGAAGCAGTATCTACAGTGATCTTCTTGCAGGATCCGGAGCGCGAGCTCCTTGACAGCCAGGTGTTCTCGGAGGCCCTCCGCCTCCTTCTCGAGGCTCTGGAGCTGATTGTTCTGCCCGTCAACCCGGTCAGGTGGGGGAGAGCAGCGCTCAGCATCGACACTCACGTAGATCTGCTTCATCATACTCTTGGGTGGGTTCACTTGGCTCGGGTTGACCCCCCTCTCCTCCTGCTGGTCCTCAGAGCACTTGTCCTCCTTTGTCGCGCCTCCTGCTGCTCTCCTTTCCTCCTCTCTGCCGCCCTGGTCTTGACGCGCGCTGTCGGCGTCTTGCTTCTGCGGCGAGGTCGAGCTGCTCGGCACAGGAGGAGGAAGAGGAACAGAGGTCTCGCGCTCGTCGGGTTTCTTGTCTGTCGCTTGCGCGCTGCCACAGGCTGCCTTTTCCGCCCCCGAGGAGACATGAGCCTTTGACATCCGTTAAGAGGAAGAGAGGAGGAGCCGATGGGGAGGGGAAGAAGGAAAGGCAGAGAGCAGGGCAAACAAATTTTAAGCATCGAAAGCGGAAGAAGGAGAAAAAGCAAAGGAGGGAGAAAGGAGGAGAGGAGAGGAGAGGAGGAGCAGAGAGGAGGAGCAGCCGGGACAGGTCAAGGAAGAGGAGGATTGTCTTACCTCCCGCGCTAGTTCTGTTCTCACGATTTGCAGGTACTCAAGGCAGGAATTCTCCGCAAGCCTGATCTGCAGCAGAGGTGAAAGAGTTGTCTTGCCCTCTTGCCAAACCTGAGATCGGACGTGATGCTCCAGACACTCCTCTTCCTCCTCCGACCTCTCCTTCAGCTCCCCCGAGTCAGCCCTGCACGGTTGTTGATCAGGCGGGAAGCAGAGGAAGGTGGCTGACATGCTCGTGACGCGAGTGCGGGCGAGGCGGAGGGAGTCGATGCCCTGACGGATGGCACCCAGTCGCTCCATAAGGTTGCTCTGCCGTGGGAGCTCAGGAATCAGCAACAAGCGCACAGAGAGACGGTGATCAGAGGGCGGAGGAAAGAAGAGGAACAGGAGAGGAGAGGAGAGGAAAAGGAGAGGTAAGAGGAGGAGGAGGAGGAGGAGGAGAAAGTGGAGAAAGAGGAGGAGGAGGAGGAGGAGGAGGAGGAGGAGGAGGAGGAGGAGGAGGAGGAGGACAAGTACGCTGGCACTTTGTCCTCCGCTCACCTGCATGCAGTCTATCACAGACGCAAGACCTTCTCGCCCGTAAGCAACTTTAAGGTCCCGCCGGTTTTGATTCTTTGCAAACTCTGGCATCGACCCGTGGAAGGACTGTCACAAGACTCAGGTCCCCTCCTCCTCCCCCTCCTCTGCCCTCTTCATCCTCCCTCCAATCTACTCCTGCTCGCTCCTTCACGCTCCTGTCCCCCTTCCCAACCCAGGGGTCCAGCTTCCTCTGCTCCTCCTGCAGTTCGTCTCCTGACCTGAATGTGACCCCAGAGCCGATGCTCGTGGTCCTCGTAGACATCTTCCTCCGGGATGATGTTGTGGAGGACGAGCTGGCGGATCTGAGGGCGACTGCAGCACAAGGATGTCAGAGACGCTGCAGCAAGAGGCTGCATCACCTTCTCAGCTTCCTCTCCAACGTGCTGCCCATCTGCCTCATCAGCAGCCTTTGCTGTGCTGCCAGGATGTTGGGAGTGACGGCCGTGCTTGCCTTGAGGATGTTCTGCTGGACCAGATCCTCCTGCAGGAGGGGAGCATGTCAGAGGTTGAGAAGGCGAGGAGAGGACGGGGAGGGCGAGAGGAGGAGAGCAAGGGGAGGGCGAGAGGAGGAGAGGACGGGTTGGAGAAGAGAAGTAGAGGAGAGATTCAGGAGCAGCAAAAGGGGCTCGCCTTGCTCGGTCGATTCTTCAACTTGTCCTCGAGTGAGTTCAGCGTCCGCTGCGGGAGCGAGGCGAGCGAGTTCTGCCCCCTCTGCCTCGAAGCGTCTGAGGAGGCTGAAGTTTTCCCCGGCTCGTTCAAGTGATTCCCGACGTCCTTGCTTGCCCCATCTTGACAGACCTTGCCCGTCTCCCGGTCCCCTCCAGCGACCTGGTCGACAGCCTTGCTCTTTGCCCGATTCTCCTCAACTTCCCTAGTGCCTTCCTCGCTACCAAAATCCTCCACTGCCGCAGGAGTCAGCAGGGAGGGGGAGGAGTGAAACTTGTCACCTTGGCCCTGGTCTGGAGAGAGCTGCTCGAGAGAGGACAAGGACGTCTGCGATCAACGTCATCTGCCAGCCGCCGTCGGCAGGTCACCCGACCTGACCAGACAGCCTGAGCTCGAACTCGGGGTGACTCAAGGCCTTGGTGCTGGGGCTGTGCTCACGCGAGGCGCTACTGGAGTAGAGGTTCCCTGGATGGCGAGTCAGTGGGAGCGAGGAAGGGGCCACCAGTAGATGCCTGTGTAAGTGTCCGACTGCAGCAGGGCTTCTGTGTCCAAGATGCAAAGATCTCCAAACACCGACTGAAGGGAAGACTTCAGCAGGACGACGCCAAGTGACGCTGGGTCAGCCAGGTACCTGGGAGTCTCCCCCGCCGAAGATGTACATCTCAGTCCCCCACATGCACAGCGAGTGACCAACCCGAGGCTCCGGTGACATCTTGAAGAACGAGTGAGCAGAGGGAGACGGGGGGAGGGGGTGAGAGCGATGGACACGAGGAGGAGCGGCGGGGGAACGGACAAGAGGAAGTGGAGGATCAGCGAGAGAGGGTGGAAGGACTTGAGGGAGGACAAGAGAGGAGGAGTTAGAGGAGAAAGTCTGTCTCAAACCTTGAGGTCGATGCTTCCTGTCCACTGCATCGTCTTCACCTGCAACAGGTGCAGGTCGTTGTGCAGCCGCCCAACGCTTCCTCCCCCCCACACCAGCACGTTCCCATCCGGCAGAGCAGCGGCGCTGTCAAGGTAGCTGTTCAGTGCCTGCCCATCCTCTCCTTCCTCTTCACCAGTGGCCTGCTCGCGGCGAGGGTCGAGGGCCCGACGTGGCTACCTCCCTCCACTCCATGCAGTCAACGTCGATGATGTACATGTCGTTGTACACGTCCGTCACATCCCCTCCTGGCGTTCACAACCTTCAGCTCGAGGAGACGGCAGGGCAGTGGAGGAGCCGACCGGCAAAGAGGAGGAGCTGGGACTTCTCATCATCGTTTGAGCTCTCCGATGACAGGCATGTCCTGGTACTGGCAGGTGAGGAGGAGGCAACGCAAGATCCTTCATCTCCACATGGTGTGCCCTGCTCTGGGTTTGGGAATGTCTCCCTTGCAGATCTCTTTCCTCCAGACCATCGTCTGAGAGCAGATCAATCGAAACGCTCAGATCATTGACGCATAGTCAGCACCTGGGTGTCAAGCGAGTAAAAGTCGTTCATCCTGTAAGATCCGTTGTTCCCCCCGAAGATATACATCTTGCTGCCAACAATGTTGGCTGTGTGTGCCGCTCGAGGAGGAGGAGGCTGAGTACAAGCATCACTCGCACCCGACATCAACTCTCTTTCCCCACTCACCGTCCCCGAGGTGTTGGGGCTGAGCCACGCCATCGTCACCTTGCTTTGATCGCGCACGCGAATCGCCTGCATGGCGGATCAGATCTCACCCGTCAGGACCTCCACCATCCTCACCTGCGTGTCCAAGACCCACAAGTCTCCCAGCCAGCCATCTCCTCCTCCGTACCCTCCAAACACGTACAGCAAGCCGCGGAAGGATACAGCCGTGTGCGCGTACCTGGCGGAGGGACTTCCCTCCATGGCGCTGCTCTGAAGCTCTGGCTTGTGCCACTCAATGCTGGGGGTGTCGAAGACCCAGAGCTCTTCGAACCACTTGCTTCCCCCAAACCCACCGAACACAAGCATCTTGTCTCCGACCATGGTGGCTGTGTGGCAGTTTCGTGCCTGTGGGGCACTAGTCGATCAGGAGGAGGATGAGAGACACAGTGCTCTCTGTGACCTTGGGGAAGTGCTTGGCGATGACTCTATACCAGAAGAATGGCCCGCTGGTGGAGTCGCTATCCAGGCTGAGAATGCTCGCCCGATCCTCCTCATCTTCCTTGACATCGCAGCCAGTGGCTTCAAACATACAGATCACAAACATGTTGACTGTGGATCAAACTCACCGTAATCGTTGAGGCTAGCAGGAGAGGCACCATCCTGGTTCAAGGCTGGGTTTGACCGCCAGCGTCGGAAAGGAAGTGGCTGGCTTGACGATGCCGACCACTGAAGGCTCTGCCCTCCTTGACCAGCTTGCATTCCTCAAGATGCGAATGAATCCAGCGATTCAAACAGTGACCAAGTCACGAGGTTGTCGCTTGCCAGTTTCATCTCGAACTCGAACGGCGACCATGGCACTCCGCCCTCCCCTCTTCAACCTCAGTCTCCGTCTACGTCACATACTGTTTGCTTTGCTGTCCATCTGTCCCTGCGACCGACCGCCCGTCCGCTCGTTCATCTTCATGTGAGTGCATGAATATCATTGGGCTAGCCTCTTCCTCCCTCTCCCCTGCTCCCCCTGTCCCGCTCGTCTTGGCCTCCTCCATTTATCCATTTCCACCATGTCGCACAATACGAATTTTCACTTAAATTCGATTATATATAATTATATGAGCTACTATATTTTACCATTTTAAAATTGATAATAAAACGAGTGGTGTTATATAAGGGTGGGTACCTGCGTGTTTGTAGAATTTTGAAGGGGGTGGGGGTGGTAGGCTATAGTAAGCATCGAATAAGTCTGGTGGGGCTCGGCGGGTGGGGGTACGTGGGGTGGGACACATCCAGTTTACGAAAAGATGTTCGGATATTTGAAAATATACATAAAGATTTCAAACTTAAGAGAAACTGGTGTTCAGCATATTTGAAATCTCCTAGAAAATTCTGTGCTTGCAAACAAGAAGGCTCTTGCTCCATGGTGGGGGTGCGGTGTTCTGGGGGTCTTGAACAAGGGGGTATGAGGTATCGAGAAGGGGTACTTCAACACCATGGTCTACATGGCATTTCAGTACACGAGAATTTATAGCAACCGCTATATGAAAATCGACAGATGTACGTCAGGGTCGCTAATAGGTGGACAAATGGGGGTGATGGACAAATGGGTAGGGTAGATGTGGAGCTATAGGGGTAGAGATCACCAAAGGGGGTGGCATAGTAAGCATGGCAAGCTTGAGACGCATGGGCTGCATGGGTGGAGCAAGAGCAGGGAGCGAGGGGAGGAGGGGGAGGAGTAGAGCAGACATGAGGCGAGGAGATGTAACAAACAATGACTGAAGGTTGTTGCATCCTTGTCAGGGGCTGGGTTGTGCTGGGGCTGCTGTAGGAATCACTGAGAGCTTTTGTGAGGAAGCGCAAAAGAGCCTGCCAGTCTGAATGCGCAGCTGCAATGCAGGATGGTTGCTGTTCAGAGCGATCAACTTGAGTCTAATTTGTGCATCACTTTCCTTCTAGATGACTTGATTGGTTTTTCTTATCACGCGTGTTTTGCTCGTCCGGTGCAGCCATCGTGCACAAACAAAGATGATGAAATGTGATGGTGGAATTTACCTGGTTGTGCTCCAGGTGCCCAACAATGCCGACCGCCAATGCAGGAGTTATGCTCGCCATAGCGGTCGTTGCTGCACCCGAATGAGAACAAGTTGGTCGGTGATGGCTGTCAACAGGTACCAGCAGCGATACTAGCGATCGTCTCGACCATGGTGCTCCTCCCCAAGTAAGAGGAAGAGTGCAAGTTCGTTTCAGGCTGTGACATGCTTCCTCTCTTTCCTCTCTCAGGAAGCGCAAGTCAAAGGCGGGCTCAGAGGATCAAACTCTAGACCGGAAGAACCTCAAGGGAGTGTAAGCAAACTCTTCAAATAGCGGGTTCCGTGACTGACCCTCCTGGTGTTCTCCGCAGGCTGAAGGTTGACCCTGAAGCTATGTCTTCCGCCTCCTTGCTCCTGCCTGAGAGATTCCTGATGTGACCTGACGCTCTCAGGAGCGACGTTGCCTTAGATGTTGTACAGGCCCGAGATGGCTGTCGATGACAGGAACTCACCAAAGGACGCCAACGTGAACTTATTGTCGACGAGTGGCCGGTGGCTGAATGATGTTGTGGCCCAAGGCATGAGATCGTCAGGTGATACAGAAAGACACATCTTGTTTGACTCCTGGAGAGTCCGCTTACCCCTGTCCCTGTCAGTCGCGAATAGGCTGCTCGAACTGATCATGAGCCCATTGGAATATTGGTCGCCAGCTGAAGGTAATGTCGTTTCAGTTGCAATCCTCGCTCATTTCAGCTGCAAGACAAAAGAATACCAGCTCAGAGCGCGTCCCGTCCTCTCTTGGAGCAAAGTTCAGCCGACCAAGGGGTTCCTGCCCGAATTCAAGAAGCTAAGGCAAACTCACAAAGGTGATACCGAGTCCCAACCCCTTCGTTGCTCGCTCACGTCTCTGGGGACTTTGCAGATCAATATACTACACGTCAATCCAAGGTGGAGCAAGCGGGTGATGTGGATGAAAGCGTCACATTTGAAACCTTGAGCAGGTGAAGTCCAGAAGTGCAAGAAAAACAAGAAGTGGTGGAAAGACCCGGATTTCCCTCATGAGGACTCTTCCATCTCCTCATCCCTCGTGAGCAAGAATCATCAGTCAGCCCTAGACCTTATCAAGGTGAACATCGCTCCTCGTGTAAGACGCTGTGTTGATGGCAACGTGTTGCTTGAAGTCGATGGGCGTAATCTGGGCCAACCCTATGGAGTTCTGCGTTACTCGAAGGTCCTTGTTGAGGTGAAACCTCGAGAGTTCGACGAGCTGTATGATCTTATTTTGATCTTAGATCTTCAAACGATGACAGAACGTGGCTCATCGATGACGACGTCGATGACGAGGTGATCGCAAGATGTTGTTCTTGCTCTTTCCTGGATGTGATGGCCGATTGTCGTCAGAGCTCCCCCGTTCAACTCGTCTCGAGCATCGACCATTATGCCAGCGGAGTGATTGTTGCAGGTAGCAAGAGGGAGGATGTGGCAGTCAGTCATATCATGATAAAATGTTCAGCCCTGCAGAGCAATCCGCTCCTGTGCGACGCGCTCATCGATCGCACCTACGAGTCTCATGTATTAGCTTTCCCATGAAAGATCCTTGCGATGATTGGAATGACCCAGGGCATTCTTGGAGTCTCTCTGAGATGGGAAGGAAGGTTTCAGATGGTCTGGGTTGACCTCTTCTTTCCTTGTTCCAACTACAACAAGAACGACAGTCATCTCAAGTAGATCTCCAACCTGATCCTGAAAATCGAAGGGATTGACACATTGTTGCAGAGGGCAGCGCGCTCTGAAGCTTGTCTTCGGAAGTGGAGAGACGAACGTGCACGATACTTGGTCCTTGGTGATCGAGAAGGTGGCCTTTCATGTTCTATAGGGAGCAGCGGGTTCACAAGAGTAATCAGGCATGCGCCAAGTTGTGTGGAGGATTCTTGGCGATCTATGGGGTAGAGAAGATGAGCAAAGTGCTCAGTATGATTGACAGTGAGACACTTGCATTGGATAGTATGATTTTCTTACCCGCAAACAGATGGAGATGATATGGAGATCGTAATAGGGGACGAGTTGCGAAAGGATGCCTCCAGTCAGTCCAAGAGTTGTCAGAAGCTTTTCAAGCAGATCAGCGACGGCCTCTCCAACCAGAGGAGTCTTGTCCTTGCTGGCAGTTGCGCATGTGGGTCCAGCTGAGCGAAGTGCCTGTTCCTGACTTCTTGTGTCAGCAGCTGCTTCTGAGGGGGGAAACAACGACGCCTCGAATATTCCAAGGTAGAGAAACGACAAGATAAAGATACATTAGAGAGCGAGAGGTGACTTGAGAGGGCAGAGGTCAAACCTTCATCGTGCTGGAGGCTGTGGCTGCAGGAAACGAGAGGCTCCTCCTCCTCCGCAGCCCCTTTGGAAGGTGCTTACTCCTCGTCGCTGATGCGTTGAATGAGCTTTTGTTTTCAGTGTCGATGGTTCTGGAAAGTGGAAAGGGAGACCTGAACAGTGGAAGCAAATTGGAGACGAGAAAAACAGCGTCAGAGAAGCTGCCAGCAGGGCTCAGAAAGGTCGCAAAGATGTGTTCTGGCTCTCGCTGGAGGTAAGCTCCGTGTTCCGTTGTCCTTCTGTTTGACATGCTCCCGCACAGGAGTTCGTGCAAAACTTTGATGGCGTCGTTATTCACACCTTCGAGTGCGAAACTTCCTATGCGGCTTCCAACTATGTCTGACTAGGGTTGTGGTTGTACTCAGACTGTCGTCGGCTGAGCAGAAAAGGCGTGCAGAAATTATGTCTGCTTTCTCTGGGTTCCCTCAGCAGCTGAAACCAGGTTGACGCGACTGAGAGTGCGTCAAGACGTGACTTGTTGTGAAGGGTTGAGCGAAAGGCAGAGAAAGATGCAAGCAAAGGTCTGAACACATTTCAACAACTCTGTCTTGCTGAACTGATTTTGCTATTTCTTCCTTCAGGCGCAAGCGGATCAGATCGCCGCAGGTTCGCTCGAAGAGAAGCTCGGGAGTCAAGATGTGACTTGCTGTTGCAGAGCTCATCGCAGAGGAGGAGAGGACCAGCAAGCGGCAGGGCCCCAAGGTTGATGAGACCAAGCCCTCATGCTATGGAGACATATCTGACTAGTGAGCAGATGAAGAAGAAGAGAAAGGGAACGAGATGATCTCGGGAGATCAAGTAGAGACACACTGGACCATTGCAAGACATTGATTGAAAGCGGAAAAGAGTGATCGTTAGAGAGTGCGTGTTAGAAGAATGGCTTCGGCCGAGTTTCACACTTGTTGTCGTCGTTCAACACGATCGTCTGCAGTCAGCATGTCAACTGTATAACGTGGGAACCCTATCGCTCACCTCTCCGTTGACAACAGCATGAACTTCATCTAGAAGGATCACCTGAGGAGCGGTCAAGATACTTGCAAGACCGAGACCTCCCTCCTCGCTCACCTCGCCACCATCGTACTCTGCACAATTCTTCCACTCGATGTCGATAAGCTTCACCTGCAGGGTCATTCACCAGGACTGTTCCTCCTCCGCGTCTTGCCGCTCATCCTACCTTGCTTGCCTTCATCTGAGCACGCTGCCCCTGCAACCCGCCATGTTCAACTACTCGTTCCTCTCCTCCGCTCCCCCCCCTCCTTCCTTGCCATCCTTTCCCATCACCCACCCCCCCTGCCGTGCCTCCCTCCCTCCTCTCCAAACCTCAGCTGCAATTCCTCCCAGCTGGCAGGGACCAACCTGCCCAGCAGAGTCAAGACCCCCCGCAACGGCATGACGTCACCCACATCGCACTGGATGACGAGGGCAGAGGAGCCCTCGTAGAAGGCGATGATGCCTGACTGCGCGCATCTTGACTCCTTGTCAGCTCCCCCTCCTGCTCCTGGTCCTGCTCCATCAACTCACCTGTAGACATCCGTGTTCAACACCTCTCCGTGCGCTCCTGACCAGCAAGCTTCAGACGAGGTTGGGAAGGACGAGGAGGACTAGTGAGTGAAGGAGAGGAGGGAGGTGGGGCGGAGGGAGAGGAGCAGAGGGAGAGGGAGTGGTAGGAGGAGGAGGGAGGAGGACGAGGACGAGGAGGTGACAAGTCCCGGCTCACCCTTGAAGATACAGATGCCATACCCCGACGAGCTCTCCACATCCCAACCGCAAGGGCCGATGGTGCATGTGTCGACATTCACACGAGACGTTCCCTTCATAGCAGCGTCACCCTCGGCAAGTCGGTCATGAGCCTCGTACTCCAGTGACGAACACAGCCGTGGAGGTCTCGGTGGAGACGAAGCATTCGTCCTGCAAGTAAGCATCAGCCGTTGGACGGCCCACCCCTTCTGCTCCCCCCGCCCCTCGTCCTCACACCCACACATACCCACCCATACGCTCTCCCCACCCCTCCACCACCTCCACCACCACTTCCTGCTCCTCCTCCTACAAGTGTGAGCTTGGAGTTTCGCCCATCGCCAGGCTCCAAAACCATCATGCAGATGGATCCGAGGCCATTTGAGAGGGTTCCAGGAATCTGTTAGACGAGTAACTTCAGTTCGACCACCATCACTAGCAGCCAGCAACCGATCCTCCCTTATGCAGGATCTTGACTCCTTGCAGCTTCACCTTCACATCAGCGCCATCAGCCTTCACACGCGCGCATGGCACAAACTTACATTGGCTCCCGACACAGTCAGCATCACACCTCTTCGGTCGGTGGGGGCTTCGCCAACAATCACAACGTCGGTAGGGAGAAGACCGTCTTCTGCCTTGATGGTGACATCCTTCGACAGCACCACTGGCTTGGGGAGCACATAAGTTCCCTTGCCGAGCACGATCGTGTCTCCGCTCTGCGCCTCCTCGATCCTTGTAAGTAGAGATGAATCGGTCTCCAACGACGTGGCCATCCTGTTGTGGTGCCAAATTCGGTGAGAAACGCCAAATTCGGTGAGAAACGTCAAAATTTCGTAGAAGGATGTGGAAGAGAGATAAAACAGAGCTGATAGTGGTATGAATGAGGTGGAGGAGAGATAAAACAGAGCTGATAGTGGTATGAAGGAGGTCGGAGGAGTGAAGGCAATGGAGGATGAGGAGGAAGTTGAGATCCCGTTCACCTCAGCGTCATGCTCCTTCTCGATGCCGGCTGGCGGCACGAACGCCGCTGCTGCAAGGGGAGAGACCTCAGGGAGCAGCTGCAGGCGCCCGTAGGTCTCATGGGAGGAGCCACCATGAAGCCCTCGGCTCCCGCAAGGAGCCCCAGCATGACCAGCACCGCCGTCCCAGCCATACCCGCCGTCATAAATGCTAGGGTTTCCTTGTTTTAATTATCTAAAAATATGCATATATCAATATAATTATGGAAATCGCTATTCCGGGTCTGCCTCGGGAATATTTTACCACCCCTGGTAATGACACCCTACCCCCCTTCAAATAAATTCGCCATATTGGGTACCGTAATAGGATTTGTACCATCCTTCTACCACCCTACATCAAGGAATCGACAATTTTGATGACCCCCATATTACCAATAAATCACACTGCTATTTACCGGTAACAAGGTAGGTACCCTTAACTACCACTGAGCATTATTGTACCCCACCCTACACATTTCTGTATACCCCCTTTCTACTACCCCACCCTGAACACATCCCACCCCCCAGCCCTGCAGTTCTTCACGCCACGAGCGCCGCCACGCGTCAATCATGGCGAATTTCCTGCATCTTCCAGCCGACGAGCCGGGTCAGAATTCCGAGATTTCTCCTCCTCTCCTCCTCCTCTCCTCCTCCTCTCCTCCTCCTCTCCTCTCCTCTCCCTCTCGCTCGCTACCATTCACTTCCTTGACCTTGTCGTTCCATTACTGTGATGTCCACGGAAAGCGACGGCAATGTTGTGTGCTTTACCTACGTGTCCACGCATTTACCGTCGTCTCTTGTTTCTTTGTGTCATATTCTTTCCCTTTGATTGTTATGCTATAAGTTGATGCTTGCCCCTCTCTCTCTGCCATGCGGTCTGGCAGATTTTTTTCTGTTGCGCCCTAACATGCCACAACAGGCTTCTTCGATCCAGCATTGGAGTTTTCTCGCTACGTGTACCTGCTGATCGGACAAGATCCTGGAGCGATCGATGAGAAGATCTCGGACCAGAAGGCCTTCGACTTGGCCTTGGAGAACTTGGACCAGATTTTCTCTCAAGCTGGAGAGAAGGAGAAGGAGAAGGAGACAGTAGAGGGAGCGTTGAACGTAGTTTGCTGGCTGTTCCAGCGCGTCCTCGAGAACAACACAGCTCCTGCTGAAGCTGTCACGCTGGTCGACAAGTTCCTCCAGCGCCTCCGCAGCGATGTCACCCTCCATCCCACCCTTCGTCTGAAGACGTAGCTAGCATGCGCCCTTTGCTTTGTTGACGCTCACCTTTGGCTGGCAGCATGAGCACCATCTACAACATCCTGGGAGGAAACGGCACTGCCAGGTACAACACCTTCCTGGCCATCGTGGAATACGCGGCGGCGGCAGGGAAGGAACATTTCGCCCTGGTCACGAGCCAGTTCGACCAGCTGGAGAGCATGCTCGGGGAGTGGGGAACTGACATTCAGAAGACGAGGGCGCTGTATCAAGTGATCTTCGACTCGATGGCGAAGCATGACAGCAGGGACAAGGCTCATCAGTTCAGGATCAAGTACCTCGAGTCGTTCCAGGGGGAGAGGAACCTTGAGGAGGCGAAGGTGCAGGCGAACATCGCGGTGGTTGAGGCGATTTCAGACCCCAAGATCTACCAGTACGACACCTACCTGGAGCTCAATGCCATCCGGGCGCTCGAGAATGATTCGAAGCATGGCAAGACCTTCACGCTGCTGCAGCTGTTCTCTCACGACAACTTGGAGGGGTTCAACAAGTTCTACGCGTCCAGCAGCTCTTACGTTGAAAGCCTAGGTGCGAGAGGGAGAGGACGGGGGAGTTGGAGACAGTTGCTGACGGGGGAGGTGCGGCAGGGTTGAAGAAGGAGGAATGCATTTTGAAGATGAGACTCCTGACTCTCTGCTCGCTGGCTGCGAACTCCAAGGAGATCGGATACGCGGAGATCGCTCAAAACCTTCAGGTGCAGGAGAGCGAGGTCGAGTCCTGGGCGATCAAGGCGATCACGGCGGAGCTCATGGATGCCAAGATGGACCAGCTGAACAAGGTCCTGGTTATCAAGTGAGCCAAGTCTCCTCAGCCCCTCCCGTTCCGCTGACGGACTTTGTGCCGCAGTCACTGCAAGGATAGAATCTTTTCTAAGGCGAAGTGGACCGAGTTGCGGTCGAAGCTTGTGGGGTGAGGAGGAGGGAGGGAGGGAGGGAGGGAGGGCTAATGGGAGGAAACAGGTGGAAGGATAGGATAAAGCAGCTCATGATGGTGCTGGAAAATGCCAAGGTGCAGCAGCAGCAGCAGCAGATGATGCAAATTCAGGTGGCTGCGACTTCACCGCCATCCCCCACCCTGACGTGCTGCAGGCCCAAATGCAATCCATGTAAAAATTTGATCGAAACTCTTCGTCGACGTGCACAATCTTGTTGGTTTCTAGTATTGTTTTGTTTTTTCTCGTATTTTCTAATAGAAGTACAACTAGTAATGAAAGTTGCTCTCTCAGATCACGAATTGCAAACTCTGCGTGCTGCTCGTGCTCCCCTGCCTGCCCATCGTCAGCTCGGGCAATGAGAAAATTCTCACGTCCACCTCCTAACGCCCCGCTGCGCGTCTCTCTTCCTTCCCGCGAACATGTGAATCGCTCGATTGACCTGATTGCAGTCAGCGCTGGCAGAAAGAAGAGGATACATGACGAAAGGGAGAGGAGGGGTTGAGAGCAAGAGGGAGCAGGGAGGAGAGAGGAGAGGGCGAAGTGAAGAGGGGAGAGAGCAGGCGGGAAGGGGGAGGACGTGGGGGGACCTTGGCTGTGAGAGATTCGAGCTCGAACAGCATGACGTTGACCGTGTTAGCATGCAGCGCCTTGAGCTGCTCCAGGCTGGAAGCGAGGGAGGCAGCGGTGAGCTCCTCCCCTTCCCTCCTGCTGCTCCTGCTGCCTCGGGCGATATCGAATGCAGCATGACGCGCGCCCGGGAGACTTCGAGGAATAGCCGGAGCACGAGGCCATGAAGCATGCTCTGATGCACGTAGGGCGCCGCCTGGGCCGCCATCTCTGCCGTTGGGGGAGGCGCTCGCCCGTCGCTCGTCGACCTCGACCCAACTGCATCCCCAGCAGTAACCCCAGCAGGAGGTGGAGGGGGGAGGAGGGCGCCGCCATGGGCAGCACGAGGGCTGTCGAAGAGGCTCATGAGGGAGGACTCGAGCTTCATGGCTCGTGACTCTGCCATGACGAAACTCGCGCTGACCTCTGGGGTGACAAGATGCGGCGGCCGGTGAGGGTCGGGACTTGCATCCCCCATCTCCGACTCGATGCGCGGCAGCTCAGCCTTGAGCTGGACAACACGATCCTGCTCCTGCTGCAGCTGCTCTTGAAGGCGATCCCACTCCCCGCGGTTGATCGAGGGAGGAGCTGAGGGAGGAGCTGATGGAGGAGCTGAAGCAGGGGCAGGGGGAGCGGAGGTCTCGCACTGGCAGGAGATGCTACCGCAGCAGGCGCACGGGCAGTGGCACAGGTTGAGCATCTCCTGCTGAGAGATGGCGGCAGCCTCGAGGCTCCGAACGATCTCCGTCAACTTGCTGCTCGCGTCCCTCCAGCTCTGCTCACGCATCGAAGATTCTCTCAGCTTAGCGTGCAGCTCCTGCGCCAGGGCAGCCAGCTCCTTGGTCATGCTCTCCGTCGCAGCCTTGGACTCCTCGGCCGCCTCCAGCTGTGACAGGAGGACGGACTTCTCGTCTTGCAGGTGCTGGAGGATGCTGTAGCTCTGCTCCAGCTGGACTGCGAGCTCTCGCTCCGTCTTCCTCTGGTGGGTCTTGAGGTAGAGGAAGCGCGAGTGATAGCTGTGAAGGATATTCTCGACGTGCACAAACACGTTGAGGATCTTCTCCATCAGATCGCTTGAGCCGCTCCCTCCCTCCCCTCCCATCACTTCCATGCGGATGCTCGCGATCGCGCCCATGACTTGCCTTGCCGCGTGATCATCCTCGTCCAAGTCGAGACTCGTCCTCCTCTCCTCCTCTCTGCTTTCCCTCCTCCCTACCCGCGAAACCTCCCCGTCCACAGAGGGGAAGGCGACCGAAGTGCCGTTGGGGTTGGGAGACCGCAGCTGCTGCATTGAGTACTCGTGCTCGAAGCGAAGGTCGAGCATCTTGTTCTCAAGGTTTGAAAGATCCTCGTCCATGCTCCACAAGCAGTTCACGTCCTCCCCCTCGATCGCACTGACCCCCTTGCCCTCCTCCAACCTGACAGGCTCGCTCTCCTCAAGCTTGGCTGTAACGGACAGCGCAGAAACTGAATCAAACATGCCTGCAGTGACATCAGAAGCAGCAGCAGCAGCAGCAGCACCCACCATCGGACTGATGCTTCCTGTAAGAGTCTTCAAGTTTTGTGAGGGCGATCTCAAGGGAACTTTCACTCTTTTCGAGCAGGTCGACAAGGGTCAAGTTGTCCGAGAAGAGCAGAGAAAGAGTCTCCGCTACCTCATTCACGTTCGCTTTCATCTCAGACCTCAGCCCCGCAAGATCCAGCACAAGTGACGACAAACAACCTGCCAGTTAAGTCAGGGCCGCAAAGGATAATGAATCAAGAGCACCTTCGAGACGCGAGAGGTTCCGTCCACTCAACGATGCTACGTGGCAAGAGAGTTTCACAGCTCGATCAAAAAGACCGATGTCTCCTCCTGACCAACGATCGTGCAATGTGCAGTCTTTCGCCTCGCCTCCTGCAGCCCTGCCTCTACCTGCCCCTCCAGCCTCCCCAGGCTCGTAGCTAGCTCTGCTATCGCCGCCTCTACCGCCGCCGCCTCTACCGCCCCTCCGTCTATCTTCAGCTCGATCCGTATCTCCCCTCCGAAGCTCCTTCCTTCCTCCGCCCTCGTCCCTCCCTTCCCCCAGCCCCCGCCTGCCCCTCCCCCGTCCTCCCCGAGCCCGAGCAGATCCCCGAGCCCCCTCTCCCCTCCTCCCCCTTCCGTCCCTTCCGGCCCTCCCGCGCTTCTCCCTGCCTCCTCCTTGTCCCCAAAGTCCAGCAGTAGGTCGTCGAACGGGTTCGCCTCCCCTGTCCTCCCTCCTCCTCCTCCTCCTCCTCCTCCCCCGCTGCCTCGCTCTGCTTCCAGCCTCGCCAGCTCCTCCCGTAGCCTCCCCATCTCCTCCTCCATCCCCTTCTGCTCCTCCTCCAGCTCCCTCACGCTCTCTCTGTACTCTTCCAGGACCTCCCACACGCTCCCCACGTGAGCCTCCGCCGCCGCATGTGCCATCGCCCTTCCTCCTTCCCGCCTTGCTGCTTCCTCCCGGTCCTGATCCCGCTGCCGCCTCGCCTCCTGCAGCCCTGCCTCTACCTGCCCCTCCAGCCTCCCCAGGCTCGTAGCTAGCTCTGCTATCGCCGCCTCTACCGCCGCCGCCTCTACCGCCCCTCCGTCTATCTTCAGCTCGATCCGTATCTCCCCTCCGAAGCTCCTTCCTTCCTCCGCCCTCGTCCCTCCCTCCCCCAGCCCCCGCCTGCCTCTCCACCGTCCTCCCCGAGCCCGAGCAGATCCCCGAGCCCCCTCTCCCCTCCTCCCCGTTCCGTCCCTTCCGGCCCTCCCGCGCTTCTCCCTGCCTCCTCCTTGTCCCCAAAGTCCAGCAGTAGGTCGTCGAACGGGTTCGCCTCCCCTGTCCTCCCTCCTCCTCCGCTGCCTCCTCCGCTGCCTCGCTCTGCTTCCAGCCTCGCCAGCTCCTCCCGTAGCCTCCCCATCTCCTCCTCCATCCCCTTCTGCTCCTCCTCCAGCTCCCTCACGCTCTCTCTGTACTCTTCCAGGACCTCCCACACGCTCCCCACGTGAGCCTCCGCCGCCGCATGTGCCATCGCCCTTCCTCCTTCCCGCCTT